CTCTATTTTCTTTTGATCTTTGTATTATTTTCTTTTGTTTTTTATTGTTTCTGTTGTGTCTCAGTTTATGAGGCACAGAAGAGTGGATGCACAGAAAGAAACAGTAACTCAACTGAAGCAATGGCTAGCGGGGGTGGGGGATGGAAGATGGAGGGAATTGCGGAGCAATCGATGAATGAGGGAGGGGGAGGGAGCATTAGAACTGATTGTGATGCTGTATATACAACTTTTTTCAAAAGTGATTTAACTATGGGAGTGTATGATATGTGAGTATATCAAGAAAATATTTTTAATGAAAGAAACTAAAAATAAAAAAATAATGTCAGCTCTCACCCAGCCTGTTTATCTAAGCCAGAGAAATACGGGGAAACCGCTGGCCGTAGTTCACGAGAACTGGGCCCAGAGTACCTTATCGTGGCTCTGGGCCCCCATCTCTTTTCTCCTCTTGCTCTTCGAGCTGGCGGGTATCTTAGGAGGCTCCTCTTCCTCTTCTACATCAGGCAAGGCCACTTCCTCGAAGCCATCAAACTGGGGCAGGAGATGGTGCCAGTCAGCACAGACTCTGCCCACACCACCCCACACGCTGCCTTCCCCCAGGGCCCATACCTCATACTCTTTCTCCTCAGTCCAATTGATCTCCTCAAAGTCGCCCATCCAGCTCGCTGCTGGGCGCAGGTGGTCGAAGAAGACGGAAAACTCATCCTGCAGGTGCGCGTGGCCCCTGAGGAGCTGCCACATTTGTGTTTTGAGCTGCAGAGAGTTGCGGAGGGGAAGATGACGCCCCCCCACCTCGCCAGGGGCCCACCCAGACCAGCCCGACGCACTTCCACGTTCTGGTCTCCTCACTAACTGGGAGACAGACAAAAACCTCTCTTTCATAGTTAAAAATTCTTCAACAGTTGCTTCTTGCTTACCTACCAAATCAAAAAACCAAACTCCCTGCCATCCAGTCAGCGCTGACCCAGAGCAGTCCGGCCGGGCAGGCAGAGCTGCCCCGAGAGTGTATGAGACTGGAACTCTTTACAGAGGAGCCTGGTGGCGGTGTGGCTGCTCATGGGCTGGGACCCGCATGATCGGCTGCTAGCGGCCACCAGCAACTCCGAGGGACAAAGCTGAATCTCTCTATTTCCATGTACAGTCAGTCTCAGAAGTCCACGAGGTTGCTATGGGTCAGCCCTGACGCAAGGGCAGCGAGTCTGGTTTTGGTTTGACTCTTGATGGGGATGGAATGGAAAGCCCGTCTTTCTCCCACAGAGTGCCTGGTGGTTTTGAACTACTGAGCATGCCGTTAGCAGCCCACTGTGTAACCACTACGCTACCAGGACTCCTTGCTTGCCTACAGGGAGGGGTATTAATAGTCATGGTGGGATTCTTCATGCACAAGTTCCACTTCTTCCATACTGGTCTCCAAGTAGGGAACCACCCAGCAGAAGGCAGCAGGCCCTCCAGAGCACTGAAGGCATCCGTCACTCAGCCTGGGACACTCGGCCAGGCCCCAGCCTCAGCTGGGAACTCCTCTCTACCCCTGCCGTAAGCTTTAGGGAAGCTTAAGAAGTTCTTCCTTCTTCACGTGGCCCAGGAAGTTCACAGGGCCCCAGGGATGAGAAGAGGTGGGATGGCATGCGGAGAAGACGGACAGGGAGGGTACCTCAGTGATCTCCTGGGGCAGGCAGTGTGTACAGCCTTGTAGGACCTTGATGATCTTCTGGTGGTGTGAGGGGTTCTCTGCGAAGCAAATCTCCAGCTGCCGGAGAAACTTGCGACTCTTCTCAAAAGCCTGCTGCTCCTCAAACTGCCAGAAGGAAAGGAGGAGCCAAACTGGAGCGTTCCAAGGAAAAGAATTCAGCACCAGGTGCTGGGGGCAGAGGTAACTGCAATCCAGCTGAGAACAGTTCATTGATCTTGGGCCACTGTGGGCTACCAACTCAAGATAACCCAAAACCACTGGGGTCAAGTCAATTCCAGCTCAGCAGGCCAGAGGGTCTCCCAGGCGGTAAGCTTCAAGGGAGGGGCAGATTGACACAGCTTTCTCCTGGGGGCGGCCCGTGAGTGCGAGTCCACACAGCACCGGGGCTCTTTCACCAGAAAACGACCCCGCAAGAACGGCCGTCTCTGGTTGCTGATGGTTGTGAAGTCAGACACGTACCCCCACAGAGCGCTCGCTGTCCAGTTCACACGTGGCTTCCACACACATGCTCACGTGAGCCTCATGTCATGCCATGAAGAGACAAGCATAGTGTGCTAACGATAACTTGTCGTGAGACTATCAGACTATCCCTCCTGTGCCTCTATGTATCTATCAGCTGTCACACGCAGCCCAGGACTAACAGGACATCCCTCATACTTAAGACTCTCCAACGTGGGGAACGTAGAGTACTACACGCTACCCTCTTGCTCACCCTGTAGACAACTCTCTCGTCTCCTCCCCTGCTTTGTTTTTCTATTAAAACCTCATCACTGTGCAGCACTGCATATGTGTTACTTCTTTAGCTGTTTATCATCTAACGTCCCCCATGAGAATGTAAGCTCCCTGAGGGCAAGGATCTTCAGAGCACTCTGAGGGTGACTGCTACCTTGTACAGGAAGTGCAGAGGTGCCCGTTAGCCCTCCTCGCCTTCATGTTTTCTCTGATTAGAACACCTTGCAATCCTGCGCTAATGTTTGTTACGACCGATACCAGATGATACATCGTTATTAACTAAGGTCACACTAGGGCTCAGTCAGCTGTGTTGTACAAAATGCTGAATGTCACAGGTTCCCTGGGACAACGTCATGTAGTTTCAGTGGACAGAGAGTTCAGTCTGTTTTAGGGGCGGAATTCCGCAAACTGAACATTTGGCTGACACTAGTAGACAGTCAACAGATACTTGGTGAATGAGGGTCTGCTTCACAGCAGTGAGAAGGGGGCACACGACTTGCTTAAGGTCTTCAGTAAGAACTGGAAGTCACCCCTTCTCCTCGCACTTGTACAGAAAGCCTAAGAAGGGGACTGGGGAGCTCACCCTGGGCAACCCTGTTGGAGGGTCTTATCAGCGGGAGCTACGGGAAGGCATCAGTCGGGAAGCTGTCAAGGCTCAACAATCTCATTCAACTCCACTCAACCCTAGTGTTGCTCTAACCAAGGAGGTCTGCTGCGCAGCTCTTGAGCATCTACTTACTAATCCACAGGCCAGAGCTTGCTCAGGCAACAGGAAAGCAGCAAAGTCCTTCAGGAGCTGAGGCCAATCTTGGAGCAGAGTGCGCAAGCTTTTGTAGAGATCCAGAGCAGTCTGCTTTTGGGCACTTGCCTCAAATTCATAGATAACCTGAAGAAAGTCCTCATACTTTCCAGGGAGATGCTGCAGTGCTTCCCGAACCTACACGGGGAGACAGACTCTGATCATCAGTGTTCTGTCTTAGGGTACCACCAGGAAGCTGAGGGAGAAGGCAGGGTACTGAGTGCTCTAAGAATCTCTCTACTCTGCTGAAAGGTCTTAAGCCCTGATTGTTAAGAGGGACACCCAACAATTAGCATGGCAGAAGCTCCTTTGCTGGTACAGGGCAACTGGAAAAACCCCACTTTCAAGAGACCACAGCACTGTGCACAAAACCAGGGAACGCGCTTCTCAAGGTCACAGCCCGAGTCTCTCCTTCCTTCCTTGACCTCCGTGTTGAAGCACTTTTCCAGGGTTGGGCATGGCAGTACTGGAGGAGGGAAGATGAAGCCGCAGTCACCAGTGCGAGCGGAGGTGTGGTAAAGGGAGGGATGAAGGCAGCAGCCAGTCACCAAGAGAATGAGAGTGAACCAGGGCCACTACCAGACCAGTGCTACCAAGGGCCCCCCAACGACGAGAAGTCCCCGCTTCCCACGGACTCTGGGCAGCAGAAGGGGGTGCAGAGTACTGACAATAAAGCTGCCTATGACTGAACTCGCATGTCCCCTTGAAGTTCTCTCACAAGAAAACTTTTGGGGATTCCAGGTGAGCCTAAAGAACAGACTTTGTCTTTAAACTACCTCCCTTGAACTAGTAGCAAGCCCATCTGTGGGGCCAGGCAGGGACAGGAAGCAGTATTTGCCTACCCTGGTCAGATATGCTTGGGCGAAAGCCAAGTCCTTCTGCTCCCTGAGCGGGTCCCGCTCGAGAATGTCCTCGGCGTACAGCAGCAGCAGCTTGGCGGTGTCCTTGCGGGCCCGGGCGCGGCTCCCCCGCGTGCTGCGAGCTCGGCCACTGCTCCGGCCCTTGCCAGCGGCTTTGCTGCTCCCTCCTCGGAGGACATGCAAAAAGGGGTGTCTCTCTGTGCGGCAACCTCTCCTCCTCCCCCTCCACAGTTACCCACCCCTGCCCTCCACTGTCTCCCAACAGCCTGGGATAGAACTTGCTGTAGAACCATGAAGTCGCTCTCTCAAGTCAGCTCTCATCAGGGGCTCTGAGATACCTGCATGCCCAGGGATGACAGTGAGGCCACGGAGGAGAAACAAGGTCCATTAGAGCCCACAGAGTGGGTATGGTCTCACGCTGGGCACTCAAGGGACCGTCTGCGTGAGGAACGAGCAGTGTTTTCTGACATAAACCTATCCTTTAGTGCCATGGATCGCAGAACTGAGAACCAGTATAAAAATTCTGATAAGCCTAGAAGCTAATAAGAATCAGAGGTAACGTTTCTGAGCAATGCTTCCTTGCAAAGACACCAAGTTACATGTGTGTATTGGGGAAAGGCAGTGACAGGGGAGACTGGTTTGAAAGCTGGTCACTCTGGACACTGCCTTGGAGCAAAGAGCCCCAGAGCTGCCCTTCAGGACATGCTTGCCACACCCACCTGGTGGGGTCCTGTTCATCTCCAATTCTGGAGCAGCCTGGGGTGAAGTCAAAGTAGAAGGGGGCTTCTCAACAGCGGCCCCAGTTGCTTCCTCAGCCATTTCATCCTCCTTCTGCAGGCTTTCTGTTCCCTCTGCTTCCTCCTCCTCCTCCTCCTCCTGCTCAGAATTCTCCTCCTGGGAGTTCTCTTCCTCAGACTCCCCTTCCTGACTCATGCGCCTTGCAGACGCAAGCCAAGTGAGTTTCTCCATGGTTTCCTGTAAAGTGTGAGTGCCAGCCCCACAGAGTGCAGATGGCATCAAAAGGCACAGAGGTAAACCAGTAACCAATGAGCTCGACACCCCCCCCCCTTATGGGTTCACTGAAGTAACAGAACCTTCGGAATGGTTTTCTTGGGCCCTAAAGAAAGTTCTCCTTTGCCCTGACACTTACTGATGGTCTGCTTTCTCAGGGATTTAAAGTGCGCTCAGGTGATTCTATTTAAAATGTAAATATCTTTACGTCAAGTAAAATGGGGGGAAACAAACCAACCCCCTTCAAACTCACTGCCAATCGAGTCGATCCCGACTCAGAGTGACCGTAGGGGGCAGGGTGGAAGTGCTCCTGTGGGTTCTGAGACTACCTCTTTACAGGCATAGACAGCCTCATCTTTCTGCCTCCAAACAGCGGACAGTTCCAAACCGCTGCCCTTGTGGTTCACAGCCCAATGCATATCTACTATGCCACCCAGGTTCCTCTCGAGTATAAACAGGAAGGAAAATTTTACCCTTTCCCAATCCCAAAACCTCAAATCCCAAACTATGTCCCATAATCCATTAAAAAGTAAAATGAATTACCTAGGGACTGTCTGTAAGACAGTACCCAGACATGACTCATCAATCGGCTGAACGCAGTACCACGTTCAAGGACATCCGCATGTGCTCACCTGGAGCTCAGGCACGGAGAGCACCGACTCCTCAGACGCGGATGACAGCTCATCCTCCTCATCTTGGGTGAGGTCATCAAAGTCCTCCTCTTCCTCTTCCTCGGGCCCGTCCTTCTCAGCGCCAGTTTCTGCTCCCGCTGGCGTGCCCACCGACTGCCCATCAGCACTCGAGGTGTCTTCAGGCTTCCCCACCCCAGGGTCCCCCGAAGAGGAAGCAGTATTTGGAGAGCCTTTGCTCACCTCGCCCGAGTTCCCTTCATCAGGAGGCTCCTGAGACGCTGCAGGGGCTTTGGTCAGCTGACACCTCTCTTCCTCCTTTTGTAAGACCTGTGGTTTCCTCACCTCTCCAGGGCCATTTAACCCCTCGCTTGGGGAGCTCGTAGTATCCAATTCCAGGGAAGGCTCTTCTTTGATTTCACCACAAACGTTCTGCTCAGAGGAGAGGCTAGAGATTTCCGCCCCAGGGTCTTCAGGTTCGACCTTGACAATTTCTTCTAAGTTGCCAAGAGGAGACTTACGAGATTCCTGGAAGCTCTGAGGCAGGGCTTCTAGGACTTGCCCTCCCCCCTCCGTTTTCACAATAGTCCAGCGATAGGTAAAGTTTTCGGACAGCTCTTCTTGGCACCCTCGATCTGCTGGTAGAGGCCCTGGACCGCGCTCCTCTTTGGGAAGGGCAGCAGCACACTGAGGAGCTATTTCCTGGGGTTCCAATTTGGGTTCAAGGCTTGGAAAGGTACCTTTGCCTTCCGTCAATGGACAAGCAATGTCCACATTGCTCCAGGCCTTATCTTCAGTGGTAGATGGTCCATGAAGATTCACAGTGTTACCAGAGACAATTAAGGGTGGGATGGAGGAGGCTACAATGGGTGGGTTCAATGGACAGGGAAAGGAAGTGGGGTTAACCAAGAGGGTAGCAATGGGAATGGGCTGAGAACTCGGGGCCACAGCTGCATTGACAGGCTGCATCATGTTACAGCCAGTGCTAAGGCTCACGACCTTCACGGTGGTGGCGGGAACGGTGAAGATGACAGGGGCAGGGTGGATGAAGGGGGCAGGCTTCAGACAGGGAGGGGCCTTGACCCCCTTTCTCTTTGGGAGTCTCCGTTTCACACACGACTTTCGAAACTTAGAAGGGGCAAGTGAAGGCAGCATTACTTTGGGCACAAGGGCAGAGGAGAGGGAGAAGCCGGTCCTGGCCTCAGGTAGTGCCAAGGCAGACTCAAAGCCAGGACCCCCTATGACTTCCAAAGGAGGGCGGCCTGACACGGTCTGAATCGGGTGAGGGACCTGACCCACCGCGTTGCTTGGAGGGGTTTCTGACTGAGTTGCTCTGGCTGGTGGAAGAGAGGGGCTGGGTCGGATAAGAAGAGGCTTCAGGCCTGATGACCGCTTCTGCCTCCAAGCCTTCCTGGAAAACCGCTTGGCAACGGGCTTCAGTTTCAGGACGACGTCCTTAGGCAACAGCAGTGGGTAGCGAGTGCCACTCCCCACTCGGGGGCTGCCCTTGTCGAGGCCTGGGTCTGCGCTGGTCTCAGGAGCTCCGGTCACATCTCCGCCCGCTCTAGTGCCTTCAGTTAAGTTCTGCAGTTCCTTCTGGATGGATGGCAAACTGGCCTGTTGGGAACGAGAACACTCTGGTCCATCAGATTTCTAGACTTCAGGGCCCTTCCCAAGACAGTCTCGGACATTTAAGATGGATTTTTTTTTTGCACAATACAAACTTTCTGCTAGGACGACATTCAAATTAAATACTCTAGCTCAGCGGTTCTCAACCTCTGGGTCGCAACCCCTTTGGAGGGTCGAACGACCCTTTCACAGGGGTCGCCCGATCCATAACAGTAGCAAAAGTAGTTATGAAGTAGCAATGAAAATAATTTTATGTTTGGGGTGGAGGGGTCACCACCACATGAAGCACTGTCTGAAAGGGTTGCAGCATGAGACCGCTGCTCTTATTTGATCTACTCTCCTTTCTCCAGAAAAGAAATTACTCAGTATCCCATAGCGATTAAAAACTTAAAAAAACCAACCAAACCAAAAAACACACATTTATACTATAGCCATAATCCAGGATAAAGTACAGGTATCTGCTTTTCAGTCCCTCTGGATTGTTCCAGGGGAACTTAGGGGTGGGAGTCTTACCCACTTTGGGAAACACTACTCTAGATATTCTTCATGAATCTGCTTTAGGAAACTATCATTTTACCCAATACTTTTCTCCAGCTGGAAAGAGGGTACGGAAACAACGACAACAACTTAAATCTTAGTTCTACAACTAAAAATACCAAAGGCCCTTAAAGTTTCTATCAGGGTTTTCAGTAACCTGATTCCTACAGACACTGGGGATGGGTGTGTGTGTGTGTGTCAAAGGTCATACCTTTAACCAGAATGGAAGTCGATGTTCTTCCCTCTCTACTGGGGGCTTCCACTGATGTGGCCGGATTTCTTCACAGCACTTTGCCAAGACGGGCAGCTGTTTGGTCTTCTTGTACAACTTAACGTGAAAAAATAATGCGTAAGTTACATTCCTTCTAAACAAATTGGCCTCTGGCAAGGCAGGGAAGAGGAAGGCAGTGGCCTGAGATTCTTTGACACAGATGTATATGAACACACACACATATATACAAATATCGTATCTGTTGTTGAACACTTTTGCATTTCAAATTAACTAATTTCTAGGCAACAGAGAGTTTTCATTTACTCCCTATGCTGTATTTCTAGTCTGGCCCCCAGGAAAGAAGAACTTTTAAGTCCCCGAGAAGAGGAAGCAGTTCATCAGAGTAAGCTTGGGCTGTCGTCCGAGTGCCTTACCCTTCGTTCTGGGCACTGGGGGCAGTGGCCAGGTGAAGGTCAGGAGAAGGAAAGATAAAAAGAACAGAGTCTGAGACGGGTAGGTTTCCTTAAATAACCTAAGAGGGGACTGAACTTAAGATGCTGACAGAAAGCACTCATTCATCTGTCAGGCACTCTGCTACAAGCTGAGCATACAGATAAGCAATCCCTGCTCTTAAGGCATTTCAATGTGAAAGGGAGAAATAGTCATTGAGACCAATAGTGGCACTCCCCATTAAAAACCACAAGCAAAGATGTATACAAATGTGTACAAAATGGCACACAATCCAAATGTGGACAACAACATTTTTCTAGGGGTGCAACTATAAATTAATCTTAATGGAACAGAGTTTGATATAAGGCAACATGCACTTCACATGCTGAATCATGTGTTTGAGAAACCACAAGCATATTGCTTTAGTTAGCACTAAATGAATGTTAAGAGACAAAGTAGTCTAACTTTATCCTGAAGGATATGATAAAGGCGCCTTTGGCAATAAATCAAAGAACCGAATATATGATTTTGGAGTCAGCAGTTAGGAAATGACTGCATTAATCCAGTTTTGGATGAAGGCCGGAAGTCAGGCAACTGACGAGAAAGAAAGAACATAAAAGACTCGGTGATCATCAGCAGATGGTGGAGTGGAGTCGGTGGCAGGGAGAGTCTGTGCAGGCAGTATGTGGACTGCTTAGATAATGCTGCACACTGAGGTTACTACGCTGGGAGGGAGGAGTTTGCTGTTTGGGATAGTGACTGTGGCAACTGCGCTGACAATGTTCTGTTTTACTTCTCTACTTGATCTCTCTGGGTTCGAATATCCATTGTGCTGGCTACACACTCACAGGGGAATCCTCCCAGTGTCTTCCTCACCTTCTTACCAGAGCCGGCGGGGAAAGGTGGGATTTAGAGACGTCAACTAGCAGCACCACATGAAATAACCCACTGTCCTTGCAGGTCGTCCCTGGGCTCGTCTACTCATGTCTTTTTCAGACTGAAGGATTAAATTCACCCTCTTTCAGGCTTTACCTGTGGGTAAGATTAGCCCCAAAGGACAGCTGGTCTAAACTGTGAGGTGGGGTTGTGTGTGTGTGTATACACAAACACCCATAAGAGTTGGTAAGCCAGCCACTTGATGCCTTTATCTTCTCCCATTTTAAATATTCAGATTCTAAACTGCCTGTCCCTAACAACCCAGTGCTGAGGCTCGATGTGATGGGTCTTCATTTCTGGCCGGCCCTTGGCCATCTGCATGCGTAAGCAAAGTTCAGTCTACCGTAGGTCAAACATCAAAACTGCAGCAGTGTGCACCAGCTCAGAGTCAAGAACCGCTCTCTTGTTTGTTCAGGAGCTGGTCATCTCAGCCCTAGCCATCCATCCTCAGTCAATTGGGACCAGCTGCAAGCTTTGGACACGAACACATACACCCACCCCTCCAACTACCCACTAACCACCCCCCCTCGACATACAACCCCACAATTCAGACCAGCTGGCCTCTGGGGCTAATCTTTACCCACAGGCTCAATAGTCACGCTTTTAAAACTTTAGCCCCCGTGGATCACATCAAAAGGCATCAATGAACAAGTCCAGATCAGCCCGTCCTCACTGCTGCATTTTCTCCCTCTTCCATTCAGTAAGTAGAGCCAGGCGGTTCCCATAATGAGCACTCCAAACTCATGGCTGCCTTTCTTCTAGGCCTGGAACATGGCTTGTTCTGGTGGGCACAGACTTTCCTGCTTTTATGTCCAATGGGAAACTGCTGGCTCAAGAATTTTCTACAGCCAAGCTGTCTATTTCCCTGCAGGCCTTCCCTTCAAATGTAAAACTTCCATTCTCTCAGCATTCCTGGGTGGGGTTCAGGTTTTCTTTTTGAGCCCCTTACTCTACCTTAGCTTCAAATACGAAGCCTTTTCAGACAACTCTTTTAAAATTTTGGGGGGGCATATAATTCATGTATGATACAGTTCAATAGTTCGATCACATCAAGAGGAGCTGTATCATCATCACCACAATCAGTTGCACAACATTTTCTTCAATCTTGTACTCATCATCATTAGCGCCCCCAACCCCCCCAAGGAACCATTTAATCCAGCTAGTGTCTTTGTAGATTTACTTATTCTGGCTTTCACATACAGAAAACATAACAATAAAAAACTAGTAAGAACAACAAAGTAAAACAGATAAAAACCACAACCGAAAAGAAAGCAAAAAATAATAAAAACTAGAACAAATTTTAAGGGATCATAAGAAAAATCAAATGACAGGGTGCTGAATTTTAACCTAACTGCATCTATAACAATCCACTTTCCATTGCCTTCTGCATGTTAGCAAAGCTATTCACATCCCTGGTTCATGGTTAGAGGGGTTTTACCAGGGACTTAACCTATGTGTATTTCACCTTTAAATAAAAAATCGAAACAGCTTTAAAGTGGGTCTAAATGGAGATCAAATGATACTGCATTATGACCTAACTACGTCTGCCATAATCCACTTTACCATGCTCTCTGGTAACCGGCTGTTCCTACCCCTCAACTACGATCAGAGAGTCATCGGAAGCTGAATCCATGTGTTGAGCCTGCAAATGGACTTTGGGTTTCCACTGTAATCCATACTTTCTGCAAACCAGGTGTCCACAATTTAAGCTCTGATGCCATTCCCTCCTTTAACCAAAAACCAAACTCACAGACAAGCCCTGTGGGTTTCCGAGACTGTAACTGTTTATGGAAGTGGAAAGGCCAGTCTTTCTCCAGTGGAGCTGCCGATGATTTTGAACATGTTGGTCTGGGATCCATATGGCCGGCAGCTCAAATTCACCAGCAGCTCCACAGAAGAACGACAAGGCTTTCTACTCCTGTGGACAACTGGATCAGCATCAACTCCATGAAAATAAGTTTCCTTCTTTAGATTTGGATTAGATTACTCATCATCCTTGGATCACACAGGCTGGCATACTTCTTCCATGTAGACTTAGTTAAGGGCTCACTTAGATGGCTGCTTGTTTGAAAACAAGTTTAGACTCCAGACATTATTTTTTTGTGATATTCAGGCACCATCTGGTTTCTTCACTACACTTTGCTATAGCACCCTTATCTTCAGTGATCTCTTTAGGAGGTCGAGCATAAAGCAGGGCCCTGTCATAAGAACTAATTTTTCTTTGATTGGGGCTAGAATTAAAGTGCAAGCTCAAAATTCATTCATGCATCTATGATTTATATGTCTCAGGTTGCATGAGCGGAAAGACAAAAGCTACAGAATTTTGGAAGCTTAAAAGCAGGTAACTGTGACTATAGAAAACTGAATTCCAAGTGGCGAAAGTTCAGGGCTAACTAATTTTGTATCACAGGACTTGCAAAGTCCTAAGACGCGAGAAGATTCTGTAAGCAGAGGTAAAGCTGCAATTCAAACCAGGTGAACAAGCAGAATTGTAAAGCAGTGAAAACCTGTTGCCTGGGCATTTAGACTCGGGCATCCCCTCCGCCCCTCCATCACTTTGTTTAACCGGGAGAAGCTGAGCGCTTGTCTGCTAGAAAGAGCGGTCTCTGGATTAAGGCTGACAGCAGAATGGCGATGCCGAGGAAACAACAAATTTTAAAAAACAGCTTTCTCTCTCCTCTACCACATGCTCTGCACCAGTTGCTATTACAAATGTTCAACAAACAAGCAAAAAATAAAAAATTTTGACGGAAGCAATAAAGAGCTTAACTCAACAGGCGAGTCAGAAGAAAAAGCTGAGGTGATATCCCAGAAAACACAACAAAAAGCACGTGCCAGGGAAAAACCAGAAGCCCATTTTTAGAAGTCAAACATCTGACTAGCAGACATCACATAAAGAGAGAACAAATGAAAGCGTCCCCAAACTGGAACAGAGGAATGCACACACTAAAAAGTTTATCAAATGTCTAGAACACTGGATGAAACCAGACCTTAATGTAGGTCTCATACTATGAAAATTCAAAGCACTGACAACAAACTTCTGAGACAATTTATTTCTAATTTTGAATTCTAGATCCAGTAAAAGGTAAGAATGCAACAGAATTAAGATTTTTCTTTTACTTATTTATTTCAGAATGTAAGTATTTATTTAAAAATAAATTCAGTTGCAAAAACAGTATAGAGAGGTCCCTTCCTCCAGTTTCCACTAATAGTAACTTCTTTCTTCCCAATGGTAAGTGCTTATGTAACTATAGAAAACTAAAACAAACAAACAAACAAAAAACCCCCAGGAAATTGACAGTGGTTCAATCTACTGACCAGGAAGGGAGGCAAATGATGGTTAAATGAGAAAAAAAGAAGAAGAAGAAGAAGAAGCGGTCTGCCTCTCCAGTATGCTTCTTCAGAATGCTGTGCTTCACTACAGCGAAGGAGGTGAACCAACCAAAGAAACGTAGGGTCCAGGGGAGCCCTGGCTTGGCGTCAGTAGTCTCTGACAGCGGTCAGCTCAATGTCTGGCATCTTGGGAAACCTCAACCAATTTTCAGCGCTTTCCACTCTTACCTCAAATTGCACTCCGTTTTTCCCCAGTTCCCTAGGACGCCGCTCCCCTGACTAGTTCCTGGAACCTCAGTTCTGATCTGGCATTGCGTCCACACACCATTATTGTTTCCCCATCTTTTTCTTTTGTTCTGACATTGTGGTCTTTCGTGGGCCTCAGAATCCCTGCTGGGAGAGCAAAGGCATGAAAGACCAGGAGCCAGACTTGTCGCGGGCGATGAGTAGGAGCCTGAGCTGCTCTGCGCAGCTCTACCAGCTTCTCAATGCCACTGATAGAAACGTGGCCTCGATTAAGCAGTGGCTAAATCCCCTTGGGAACGCCACCACAGCAGGGGACCTGCCTGGGAGGTGGACTTCTCTTTACTTCTATCCTCGATCTGGCGTCCAAGCTCAACAACCCTGGTCTCTCAGAGCTCTTCTCATCGCCCCAGAGAGACAGAGCTTGACTAAGGCCCACAAACCACCCTCTGTCGGATGAAGCTACTGTTCTCTGACCTCAGCTTAGATCCAGGCTGAGGCAGCAATGTCTGTGGGAGACGTCAGAGATTCTGTGGAGGAATGGAAGCTGCAGCAGGACCACTAGAGCCAGGACCAGGAGTTGCTGCTGAAACAGATGACTGAGGGGCAGCATGTTCAGGCCTGAAGCTGGAAGCTAAGTTCAATAAAACTGAAAATAACAAATGATGGAGAGGCTGTGGAGAGACTGGAACCTTCAGAGAAGGTTCGTGGCACTGGAAGGATGTACAAGCACAGTGGAAAGTGATATGGCTTCACCTCAGACAACTGGGAAGAGAAAAATCCCTCTGCTGGGTAAATATCCATAAGAAGTAACAGTTTCTCCCCCCACTATCATGATCCGAATTCTACCTTGCAGGTCTGGCTAGACCAGAGGATGTACACTGGTACAAACAGGAACTGGAAACACAGGGAATCCAGGGCGGATGATCCCTTCAGGACTAGTGGTGTGAGTAGCGATACTGGGAGGGTAGAGGGAGAGTGGGTTGGAAAGAGGGAACCCATGACAAGGATCTACATGTGACCTCCTCCTTGGGGGACGGACAACAGAAAAGTGGGTGAAGGGAGAGGTCAGACAGGGCATGATATGACAAAATAATAATTTATAAATTATCAAGGGTTCATGAGGGAGAGGGGAGCAGGGAGGGAGGGGAAAAAAAGAGGACATGATGCCAGGGGCTTAAGTGGAGAGCAAATGTTTTGAGAATGATGAGGGCAATGAATGTACAAATGTGCTTGCAGAGTAGATGTATGTATGGATTGTGATAAGAGTTGTATGACCCCCTAATAAAACGATTAGAAAAAAAAAAAGAAGTAACAGTCATAGCATGAGCAGACATATGCACACGCATGTTCAATGCAGCACTGTCCACAATAGCAAGAAGACAGACACCACCTCAGTGCCCATCAGTAGACAGACAGGTGAGGAGACTCGGGATATACACACAGTGGAGTACTCTGCATTGCTTAAAAGAAGATGAAACGCGGATGGTTCTGATATGGAATGTAACCCCACTCAATTTACAATACAAAGCTGAAACAACAACAACAATAAGAATCTGTAGGGCCGAGGAGAAACAAAGGCACCCACTACCAGAACGAGGGAAACTGAACTGCTCAGATGACTGGACGCCAAGGAGAGATTTGCTTTACTATACTGAAAGAAGCATTACAAACCTGAGGTAAACTTAGTGTGGGACTAATGTAATTACCTAATAAAAACAGCTGCTAGTCCTAGCAATTATTAACTCCAAGAGAAACAAACTAGCCAATAAAAAAAAAAGGAACAAATTAGCCTGGCTCAGCTGAGAGCGGCTACATAGTTCTTGTAATGCTTATAATGTGAACGCTAAACCAAATATGTGATGTGATTACAGTAGCAAGATTAGAGTATGAAAAATGTACATACCAGAACTAAGCCCTCACTTCCCATGGTTTAAGGTTAATATATAAAGACATACATCTAAAACATCAAGAACAAAATATTTTGGAAATGGTGGTAATTAATATATGTACAAATGTACTTGATACAATTGATGTGTGGATTGTTAAAAGAACTGTAAGAGCCTCCAATAAAATGATATATTAAAATTTTTTTAAAAATCGAGAACTAGTCATTAGAACATGTTATTTAGATATAAGAGTAAACAGATGTTCCTCCCCACAAAAATCCCAGTTAGCAGAAAAAAGGGAGAAAAATAATTTTCATCACAAGCCTCATATGGGTAACTCTTTAAACGATATACGGATTATAGAAATGCAATTTACATATCTAAAATTTAAACACAAGAGTTAAGAACATAAGACATTTCTATTTACATACACGGCAAATATAGTCATGAGTATAGTCGAGGGGGAAATGCATGACGGAGACTACAAATGAGTGTCCTTCGCTCTTTGACAGCAGATAACAAATGCATGGCTGAGGATAACATGGATTCAAGAAAAGCTGTATTTTATTTATGTTGCGGAAGCCTTGAGCAGTTTTATATGTACAAGAAATAGGAAAGGAGGAGGAGACTCCAGAGGAGAGTACTGAATCACAGTCCCTGAAGAGGCAAGCATACCTTGAGGAGAATGAGCCTGGATAAAAGGAGGTCCCCTGGAGATTAACAACACCTGAGCGAGGTGCCCTGGGAGAGCATGGGGTAAGCACTCACCTTCACGATGTTGTCAGGAGCTCTGCTCAACATCAGGTTCTTGATTCTCACTGTCAGCTGATGGACAGTCTTGCAGGTTAGAAGGTACTTGCTGATCAGAAGTTTAGGAAACTCGGTATATTCAAAATGCTTCAATCCTAAAGCTAACAAACTGAGAGAAAGGCAATGACATACGCTGTAAATCCCACTTCACAGTTTTTCCTAAAAAAAAAAAAAAAAAGCGTTCCCAGACTAGCTCTCTCCATTTTCAGAACCTTTTCTACACCTAGCTCTTGCCAGCTACTCAACAGAAAATGCTGTAGATGGTTACTGAGCACTTACTATCTGCACGTGGGTACTGTGTGGGTCACAGGTGCAAATACATTTCAATCATGAGTTCACAATCAAGTGGGGAAAGGAAAATCTCTAGACATCAAATCCTGATTTGTAAGACATTGACAAAATAATAATAATTTATAAATTATCAAGGGTTCATGGGGGAGTGGGGGCTGGGAGGGAGGGGAAAAATGAGGAGCTGATACCAAAGGCTCAAATAGAAAGCAAATGTTTTGAGAACGATGGCAACAAATGTACAAATCTGCTCGACACATGGATGTATGTATGGATTGTGATAAGAGTTGTATGAGCCTCCAATGATTTTTTTTAAAAAGGTGTAGGGTGGAGTCTAGTCTGTCAATCAGGATATAGCCAATGAGGCCTCTGTGTGAGGATGGCCTTTTCCTGAGGATTCTGGGAACTCCAGTATTTCCTTCTTGGAGGTGGCAGACTCTCTCTCTGCTCATTCCCCGTGAGACATCCTAGCTGACAAGACACATGGAACTACGCTAGAGTCCTGGGAACTGGAGGAGCCACATGGAGACCCCTGCCAGTGCTGAGATGCTTCTACCGCCACTGGATCCACAAGACTGCACCTATTGGTCTGTGCTCTTCCTGCATTCGGCATCATTGCATGTGTTTCTTGAGTCTGCAGAGGACTTTATAGATTGGTATCACACAAATGGGCTAATATTGGACTTATGGACTTGATTTGGAATGGGCTGGGATGTTTTCTCAATATTCAACTGCTCTTGTATATAAAACTCTTTCTTATGCACATGAGTGTCTATGAATTTGTTTCTCTATCGACCCAGACTAACAAAGCACTGCTAGAACTCACACACACAGTAGAACTCTGTCCATCTATCTCAGGGGTCCTCAAACTTTTTAAACAGGGGGCCAGTTCACTATCCCTCAGACCCATTGGAGGGCCGGAGTATAGTTTAAAAAACAAACAAACTATGAACAAATTCCTATGCACACTGCACATATCTTATTTTGTAGTAAAAAAACAATGGGACAAAAACACCCAGCAGGCCACATGTGGCCCTTGAGCCGTAGTTTAAGGACCCCTGAACTACTCACTTTCCTTTTTGTCTGTTGTGTATATCACTAATTATACACCCATCTCTCTTAAACTCCAAAAACCCTCTTGTCTCTTCATTGGGGTTGTTGGCTCTATTGCACCGTCATCAACACCTACTTGTCCTCAGCCTTGGTAAAGAAGCTCTTATCCTCCGGGGCCTTCGCTTGCAGAGAACATAATGGAAGCAACTCTGGATACATGAAAACCTTGCTTGTCGCCAGGATCCAAGCTACTTGCTTTGGCAAACAGGGAAATTCATAGCCTGTAACAAACAAAACAAGCTGTGATTAATGGAAATCTAGAAAAAAGGCTTCAGAACAAGTTCTGCAAGGTTCCTTCCTATTGCTCCTTCTTTAATAAACTCTTTCTCAACCTGCATATCCCAGCTGGGAGTTTCGCTCAATGGCAATAAAAGTTGATTCTCTTATTCTTTCCTATGCGGAACCTATTAATACTTGGCACAGAGTATAAACTGAAAAATGTTTACTTTATTTTCCCTTTAAATTTTTAAAGAAAAAGTAACCAACAATGCTTTCTTCTATGTTTACATTCTTTTTTCTTTTTAAAAATTTTTTTTCCAGGTTTAGATTCTAATTTCTTTAATCCCCTTCATATATCTGGTACTCCACATTTTATTCTTATCTAACTCTCTATACATTCTTCTGGATTCCTCCTGAGGTTGGGAACAAAGGGCCATCAAAGGACTAAAACAATTCATTCTCGCTCATGTTGTCTTTCTGCATAAGTCATTTCCAGGCACCTCGGTTTTTCTTTCTAGGGACAAGTACTACTACTGCCTCCACCCTGTCCTTCCCTAAGTGTTTTATTAATAACTTCAGAACACTAAATTTCTAAGTTATCACTATGGTTCAGTGTTAAAGGAATTTTTCATCACCAAAATGCAGCTATGAAAGTAGTAAGTAAAAACCAAACCACACCCACTGCCATCTCAAAGATCCAGATGCACAGAAACACTACAGAAAGGTTTCATAGATGCAGACCGCCACCTCTCTACCTGGGCAATGCTGCAGGGTTTGAACTGCTGATCCTTCAGTGACCAACTGAGCTCTACAACCACTGTCAGTAACTTAAAATTAATCCAATGATAAATTCAAATAAATGGCCAATACAGAGACAGAACTACAGATAAGCACAATCCAAAACTAATTTTGTGAACCAGGAAACAAAAGCAAATACCTGGTTTTATGGGAGCAGCAAAGAAAATACCCCCCCCACACACACATACACACACTGCAAATTCAACCAATGCACAGTAGAAACCATACCTCAAAGTCTTTGAAACATTGAACCTGACAAAAGTAAAACATCCCTAATGTGTGCCTAATTCCCAAATACATGCTTCATTCAAAATAGAGATTTCACCCACCCTACAATCATGGGAAATAGTATGAGTATAAACCTAAACATAAGCTACTTGAGCACACAAGCAAGAGCCAATGGTGCTGAGGAGCAAGTTCAAGATGCACTGAATACATCAGCCAAAACCAAGGTTCCAGGAATTGAACACAATGGACATACTTGGAACATACTGTCAGGAGGGCCCGTCCCTGGAGAAAGACATCCTGTTGGATGAAGTAGAAGGGCAGCAAAAAGAGGGAGGCCTGCAGTGAGAAGGACTGACGCAGTGGTTGTCAGGAATGGCCTGTGGCACAGGAACAATCTTGAGGGGATGCAAGCCCACGCAGCGTTTCGGTACGTTGTGCACAGGGTCATGATGGGTCTGAACGGACTCGATGGCCCCTACCAACATCGATCTAAGCATCTCTTTGTGTTGAGTCCCACATGTCTATCCCCACGTCCCTGTCCTGTCCTTACCTTCATCCCCTAAGTCCAAATATTGCATGTAGTTCTAGAATTTGAACGAGTCAAACAGGAAGATATTAAAGGTAATTAAAGGAAGATAATAAAGGTAAAGAAGAAACTGCAAATTTCCTAGCTCCTCCATCACTAGGAAATTGTTTCTAAGATTCTATAAAAACTTGGAGGTGACACATCTGTCCCGTACCAGGCTTCTTGACAGGTTTCCGAGGGCTCCAGTCAATGCTGACGTGAGTGCTGAAGTCTTCGATGAGCTGCACAGCTCCCATCAGGTTACAGGGCTGGAACAAGGTCTGAAACTTGGTGTTAAACTGATGGTGAAGGGCAATGGAGCTTTGAGCAAAAGTCCCCAGCTCTTTCTAGGGAAAAGAGGACACAAGGGACACAATGGATCTTAGTAGCCCTTGGCTTCTGGGTGAGAAACTGTTCTTCCTACTATTTAATAAAAACAGATAACGATCATCATATTCAGCCATCAGATATTATGGGATTATATTTGTGATATACTCACACACTCACACACACACCAATTAAACAATTCTTACATATACAATTCAGTGATAATGATTGCATTCTTTCCTTTGCCAAAATGTTCTGGTCCTACAGACCCATTGCTCCCCAAGAGTCCTCGCTAACCCTTGTCAGTTTGATTCCATACAGAGAGAACGTAAATGAGTCCAAAGCTCAAGACAGACATTCTTGACTATTGCTTGATTTTAAGATAACTTCAAGAGATATTTTTCATTCCAAATATGAAAAATTTCAGAGCAGTAGTTTTGGGAGTTCATTCAACCTTTTTGGCTCCAGAAAAACCTAAATTCCATGTGAACTCAAAATTGTTTTGTATTTTCCCTCTTCCCAACTAGGGCTCCTCGCTTATTCATGTTGTTTTATTATTAGAATGAGTGTTCCCCCGTCTTTTGGATGTATGCTTTAGCTCCTCAGCTAGAAACAAGATTCTCAAGAATCAGGGCTGTTGTGACTTAGGGATTAGTTGGACATCTAGTAAACCCGTGCTTCTGTGAACACAAAAGGAAGTGTGGACACACTGTTGACCACCAAGTAACCTTTTTTAGGTTGTTTAACTTTGAAAGATACTTTTAATGGCTTGTAAAAAGACAAATGAAAATGAGAACTTGTTCAGGAAATTAATGTTCAAAAACATCTTAAATGAAATATATCCAATTTAATCTTATCCTACGAGAATCTCTAAGATAGGCAATGCTAAGCTAAGAAAATTAAGCTCATCATTTGAGAATCCCTAGAATCTTTAAAAGTTAGGGTCAATTTTAATAGAATTTGAAATTTCATAGTTAAAAATGCTTACTCTAAAATACTACAAAATATCATGAGAAAAATAAATTCTTTATCAAAAAAACACGAGAACTGAGTCTACTGAATAAATCGCAAATTTAAAATCAATATAAAAGAACAGCATCACCAAAACATTTAGAAATCAGGCAGAAGAAATAAGAAAAAGTGAGAGGGGCAGTCCGAACAAAGCTGATTACATTGTATTTTCATGAAAACGGCTTCTGTCAGTGAAGCAAACACAGAAAGCAATAACAGAAAGTAGACACAGCTACGAAAATCATCCAGGAGGGAAAAACAAATGCACAGGATAACAAATAACTGTGAAAAACTACTTGCCAAGAGAAGTTCATACGCAAGTCTTTAGAGTTAGGGATATTTAGAGCCTTACAAGAAATACTCGTGTAGTACTGGCTTCCGAACTAAGATTGGGGTTGGAGCTGGCAAGAAGGTGGATTTGCGTCAAGAGCTGAACATGCTGGAGAGGGGGAGAAAAAACAATGACATGTCATGATATTCCTATTTCAGGAGCCAAACAGATCGTAAATGTTCACCATGCATACTTCGTTATCTAGAGAGACTGTGAGAATAATATAATATCTTACCAGGAATTTCTCAGATAGGTTCCCCTTGAGCAAAATGATAAAACCAAGTGAAAGTTTAACCTCTAACCAGAGGTATTAGGAGAAAAATATTATCTCTGGAAGTGAAAGCTCTATAAAGAGGCTTCAAAAAGTTAATAGAAAATCAGAACTAAAAGATAATAAAATTTTTCCATGAACTTTTCCAAGACTCTTCATACAATTTCAGAATGGATTACTAAGGACTCTTTAAAATCTATCATTCTGAATATAGGGTCATTACATGCATTCTTGTCTGAGCCATGTGCATGGCATGATGACCTCTTAAGGTCCCTTGATGTGATGATCTTATGGTTCATGGTTGAAAGGCTATTCAGACATATTTCTATTTATAAGACTCTTAATTTTGGTCTCGGAACCAGGACACAGGTAATTCAATATTAACATTACTAAGACGAGTGCCTCACCTGTTGCATTTGCTGTTGGAGTCTCTGTCGCTGTGCTAGATCGAGAACCAGAGTCTGAGGAACTTTATCATTCGTGGGCTTAACCCTCTCCACTTCTTGCTGAGGTTTGGCTGCAGATTTCTTCAACTTCAATTGTTCAAGTAGCTCCTTTACAGTCCGATGTTGCTCATTCAGCAAATTGGCCAGTGGTTCCTCAAACCTAATCCAAAAGGGGAATGCATTTGAACATTTCCCATGGACCACCACACACTCACTGCCGGCTAATGACGGGCAAAGATGGCTACGATAATTTTCATCTGCAAATCTCCAAATTCCACTTCAGTCAACAGATGAACTCTTAGCCTTATTCAAATTTTTTCCTGAAGTTAATACTCAAGGTGATTTTAACCCCTTCCACCCCCATTCTTCTATAATCACTCCTATAAATGGAATACAAACAGAGGACATTAAAGAAAAATCTAGAAACAGAGAATTATCTGGCTAACAAAAAGCCAACACTAGTGGGAACGTATTCTTACATTACACTGTTGCAGTAACCGAGCGTAACGTGAAGAGCTCCATCTGTTTGAAGGTGCCCCGCTTCTCCTCTGCCCTCTCCTGGTCTCCCCCAAAAGACCTTGACTCTTTCAAGATGTCTCCAAACCCTGCCTGCCCCAGTGAGCCAGAAATGTACTCTTAAAAGACCTTGAATTAGCGCCTGCAGCTGTGCGGTTCCCCTTAACCCCATTACTCTGACAACCTGCTATGACAACCCTCCCCTTAAGCAAATCCCTTATTTTGAACTATAAAAAGTTTGGAATGTCTTTGTTCTAGATCAGGGTTTCCAGGAGCTAGCCTACTCTCAGTCCAGCTATTTAATAAAGACTTTAACTATAACAAAGTGGTGTGGGTAATCTTGCCTGTTTACAACATTTGGAGGTGCCAGTGAGACCCCTATACTGCCCACCGGCCAACGAGCCTGCTCGACCAGAGGGCTTTTCTAGCGGGGCTCCGCCCTGATGATGTCCAGGGCCCCAGGCACCCCTCGCTGAGCCTTCCTCACAGGCCTGTCCTGATCTGATGCTCTCTGTTAAGTCTGTCTGTTTTCAGCTCACCCTGCATGCGAGGGACATTATTCTGACGAGAATCCCCTTGGCTTTGATCAGTGTCCACCCTCAGTATGGAGTAAACCTTGCCCTGGTCGGATTTCAGTAACTGTTTATATTTTCTCTTCTTCGGAAGGGAATTAATGGCTGACATTCAGGAAACTTGTGTAAATGTGTTTGTAACTTGTTATCATCTGTGTCTGATTAAAGCACCTGAATGGTTTCACTTTTGTGGAACTCCTCTACTGTCTGTTTGTATTGTACTGAGGGGATTAAAAATCAGCTCTTATACTTTACCTTTTAGAGTTCCTGTTTCCTCTGCCTTGCAATCTGTAGTCCATGATCTGCTTAGCTCTCAGGCTGATAGCTACTGCCCCTAAGGAGTGGACTCCTCTCCAAAAGGTCTCTCTTGCCTTGCTTTAGTTTTTTTGGGTCACACGCCTTTTGGCTGTTTAGTGTCTCTTGACTCTCTGTGTAAGGGCTTTCTGGTTCCTCTTGCAACCCGCAACCCCTTTGTGGAGTGGGGAATTCTCTGTGGTGGCCCCTGGCCCTGCCTGTTTTCTGTGGCTTTTTGGAACCTTTCCAAAAGCCGCCTGCCTTGCCTGATTCTGTCTGCTGTGGCCCCAGCCCTTGCTCTGCTCCCCTGCCATTGTCTCACTCCGTTCCCAGACTCTGACTCCCAGCTCTGGGTTCGGCTGCTCTGTTTAAGCCTACCCCCCCCTATTGACTGTGGAGTCAAGTTCTCCTCCAGCTGCCTCCATGCTCCTGTGAGAACAAGCAGCCAGCACTACTGTTGCTCGTGTTTAAGACGTTGTCACAGGTAGCCCAGGTCATCCTAGTATTAATAGTTTGCCCTTGCTGAGTCCCCCCTCCCTAGTTAAAACCTGGCTTGCCTCCTCTGCAAAAACACAAGTTCTTTTGTCTCAAACTTGTTGCAGTTTCTAGTCATTACTGAAAATCTCCCTCCCTCCCTTGTCTCCTTCAGCTACCTCTCCCCCGGCTTCTTCAAACCCTGCCAGACTGGATGCCCGCCTTGCTCAGCAAGGCCCCCAAAAGCCAGAGTTCCCCTGATCCCAGACGTTCCTCTCGTTCCCCTGCACCCAGTCCTTTCGCTGCTAGAAGCTGGCCCTCCTGGTAATCTATCAAGTGGCCCTTTGCCCGTAGGTGGTCCCTGTTCTGTCTCAGACCTGTGTAACTGAAAAGTCCAGCCGCCGCCACACACCCCCGTTTCTTCTGAGGAACCCCGGGTCTCAGCCTCCCTCACTGAGCCCTCCCTGCCTCTAGAGGTGGGTGGAAAGCAGTTTCATCTGTGGACCCCTTGAAGATAAAGCTTTAGCAAAATAGGCTTGGTCAGCCCATTAAACTTGCTTAGTGTTTGTTTATGCATACCAGCTCATTCCCGTTTTTTGTTTTTTTCACCTTAACCTCTTTTAAAACAGGACTTCAAGTTAAAAACCCATCATGGACCCTGAACAGATATGTGTAATTCTTTTGATAATGTTAAAACTCAAAATGTGATCCTACAGCTTTTTCTTTTGGGCCCATGAACACTCCGACCCAGCACTCCCAGCTGACACACATGTAGTTATTATATCTAATTCAAGATGTAATAACTGGGTTCCTGTGCCCTTTTTAAAGTTGCGTAAACACAAATGCCTGAAAATATAAAAGCAACTCCACTCTGCCTGGAAAAAAGCACCCTCTTCTCCCTGTTCTCTAGGCTGCTCCAACCCATTTTCCTCAGTGTTACCAAGCCTGCAGCAGCTCTCTGGTTTCCCAGACGAACCTGAGAGCTTCATTTGTAAAGTCAGGATAAAGCCCTGGAATGCTGTCTGCTAGTAGAGTATTAGACCCTGCCTTTTCCAGGATGCACTCTTCCTCAGCTCGGTGATTTACACATTGTTCCAAGTGTATGCTCATAGAGGCCCTGAAGGCTTAAAATGGATCGTTTCTCTGAAGGCAGGTTATGTGCTGCCCTGGGGAAACGTGTGTTTTTATGCCAACCACTCAGGAGTAATAGAAAACTCTGCAAAAAGTAAGAGACCGATTAGACCAGAGCAAAAGAAACAGAATCACAGGAACCCTGGTACCACAGATTATTCAATTAAAGCAGTGGTTCTCCATCTTCTTCATGCCGCGACCCTTTCATACAGGTCCTCATGTTGTGGTGACCCCCAACCATAACATTATTTTCGTTGCTACTTCATAGCTGTCATTTTGCTACTGTTATGAATCATCATGTAAATATCTGATATTTAGGATATATTTTCACTGTTACAAATTGAACATAATGATAGCATAGTGATGAATCCCAAAAGTATGTAATTCTATATTGTGAAATATTTATTTCTAATGAAAAATAAATGAAATGTTGTCTTGAAGCATGGGTAACAGTCTTCACGCCGGGTACTTGTATGTGAGCGGACCGCCTGGAGATGGATAGAGGAACGGTGTCTCAGTTCCTAAGACCATCAGAAATACCTGTTTTACTTTAGTAGGCCCCTATGAAAGGGTAGTTAAACCCCCCCCAAAGGGGTCGCGACCCACAGGTTGAGAACCACTGAATTAAAGCCTTTGTTAGCTCCTTATTAACTGGCATTGCCGGCCCATTAGCTTAAATACTCTTAGCACTGCTTAGAGGTTCTTGTATCATAAATAGTTTTGTAAACTTTATCCAAAAATGCATCCAAGAAGTCCGCCTCATGGTGCTCAAGGAGAGTACAACTCTTTAGCCTACGAGGAAACTGAGTCAATGGTTTTACTCCCTAACTAAAAGGAGTTTAGTAACCTAGCTCAACATGAGGAACTCCATCTTGTTTCAAACTGCCAGCTAGACCCCCTTCTCCTCTTCTCTCTCCTGGGTCTCCCAACAAGACCTTGGCTCTTTCAAGATGTCTCCAAACCCTGCTGCCCAGTGAGCCAGAAATGTACACTATCTTGTAAGACCTTGAATTAGCACCTGCAGCTGTGCTATCCCCCTCTAACCTGCCAACCTGATAAGAACGACAGCTAGAATATCCCTCCCCTTGAGCAAGCCCCCTATTTCGAACTATAAAACGTTTGGAATTTCTTTGTGCTAGATCAAGGTTTCAGGGCACTAACCTACTCTCGGTCCAGCTATTTAATAAAGGATTTAATTATTAATAAAGTGGTATAGTTAATCTCACCCATTTAAAACCGATACCCACACTAACCTGGGGCTTGCTCTTAACTACGATACAGACTCTTCTGAAAGTAAAGCATGTGTTTAATTTTCCTGTAACTCCTATCCCAGGTCTCGTTTCTTCCTTCTCTATGTACAGTTAGGCTGCCCTTGAGTCCCTTTCTTACAAAGTCAAAGACTTCCCAGCATGAAACAGAAGGGTGTACACTAAAAGACATGGTAATGTTGATGACCAGAAGAACGGAGGAAACTAGTTCCAAGAAAATATTTTCTGTGAACCTCTCCTCTAAATGTCCTATTCCTACCCTTCTCGTCTGACTCTGACTAGGGTCAGTGGTCAAACACTTTTACTACCCTATGAAGTCAGGACAGGACTGCTCAAGTAGCTCTCACCTATAAAAACTTACAAAAAGCCGTTTTCCAGAAATGACCTATTTGTAGTAAACAGTTAAATGACAAGAACTTTTTTCAATAGCTGCTGGGGATGAAGATTATGTTTTAACATATTTACTTCAAGTTTCGGCACATATATGCTAAAAACCTAAAAAAAAACACTGTCCTCTTTATAACTTACTAAGAACCCAAAACTCTCGATTATCTGACCTGTCAGAGGAAAAGTGCAGAAACGATGGAAAGTAGCCAATACAAACAATGCCCGCACCTGATTTTAAGTATGAATTGGATAGTAAGTAAAGGCAGAGATGATTAACTTTCTTCCATAGTATTATTACTATTTTTTTAAATTATGGTTTTGGGAAAGTTTACAGAATAAACTTCTATTCCACAAGTTATACTTATCTTTTTTTTTTAATCGTTTTATCACAATCCATACATACATCCATTGTGTAAAGCGCATTTGTACATTCATTGCCCTCGTCATTCTCAAAACATTTGCTCTCCGTACTTATCTTTTTTCATGACATCAGTTGTAATCACCTTAATGTAACGACACTTTCCACTTCCTCTCTGGGATCCCTGTTTCCATTTGCTTACCCTTCCTGCCCCTGCCTTGTCTTCTGAACTCTGTTTTCGGACAAATGCTACCCTTTTGGTCTACAGTTCACTATTCTAAGGAGCACATTCCTCTTGGAGATTACTGTTCACTGTCATTTGGCTGAGAGGCGATCCCCGGGAGTGGATTCAGTTGCAGGTTTGAAAGGAGTCTATAGGCCATAATCTCGGAGCTTCCACCAGTCTATCAGACCAAGAAAACTGGGCTTCCTTAGAATTTTGTTAGACATTTTCCTCCTCATCTATCTAGGACTTCTAGAGGATGCTTTGTTTACTCAAAAACCAGACCCGGTTTGTATCATGAACAAGAGAAACAGCAGCAGCCAAACATGTCAACGGAACACCAATGCAATGAATGTCAAGAAACAGGATTGTTGAAATTGTGGAATCAAAGCAAATTATGAAAAATGCCATGTAATCATCAAATTTAAAAAATCTATACAGAGTTGATTAATAGAACTGAAATTTTTATAGAGATTAAATCCCAGTGATAGCACATCCCCAAGAGTAATGGATCCATTTTGCATACCAGAATTTTGTTCTATGAAGCATGACTTGAAATACATGGGTCAACTAATTACTATGTAGAAATCTTGACATCTTTGGGATAGTGGTTTTGGGGTATTTTTGGTAATGGAATGTGACTAATACTTCTGGTTTTTTACACACTTGCTAGTATACTTTGTCTTTTTAAACTGAATTTCAAGTTCCCTGAGTGGATCTAACGGGAATGCTGTTAGTTAAAAACACAAGATTTATAGTGGATATGGGTCTGTTAGCTTTATTTTACTCCATGGGGATACAAATTGCACCCTGACTGACAGATGTAGCCATCCATGTAACGATAACACGCAGCTACAAATAATGGATAACAATCAATTAAAGTGCCTCTACTTTCTTTCTTCTTTTTTTAGCTGCTGCTGCTGCAAAAGGAAGCATTATTGTTTCCGTTTGGTCCACAGCTTGGGAGACGGGCTCCCAGGTAGTGGCGATGTGGCCAGCTGAAGGGGCAGGGTCCAGTAGAGGGCTAAGGCCAGCAGGGGAAGGTATCCTCTAGAGGAGTTTCAGCTCCCCATCCAGGAAGTGGTTCTCCAAAAGTCACAGAGATGGGGGTCTGTGTGAGTAGCCCCCACAGCATGCAGGTTCAGAAGGGCCTGGTTGAGCCTATACTTTATGAATAAGGCAACAGGAGTACCAGATTTATATGAAAATAACATATATTTCAGGCTCCAAAACATTACTGTGCTCAGTTCATGGTTTGCTCAGTTAGTGCCTAGGTAAGTGACAAACTTTCAATAACCCTTACCAGATGGCAATGGCAAGCAAGGTGAACGAAAGGGACATATTGTATATTACAATGTAGAGAAATGACTGTGGCTGGCCACAACATTTTGTACACCTCTCCAGCACCACTCACCTGGAGAAGTTCCCATGGATACCAGCTACTGTTTTATCTCCCTTCCCAAACAGATACAGCTTGGTCTGTAGCTGCACTGCCCCATAACAAGGAGACTCATGCATTTGGCACCCAGTTTCCCACAGCGCTTTATAGATACAACACAAAAACTACTACTTGGGGGTGGGAAACTGTTACTGCAAGTTCATTTATTGTAAATCTCAGAGTCAATGTCCAGCCTACCGTAGGACTTGAGGTGTATTAAAGTCAGGCCGAGACTCAGCCACACGCTCCTTCTCCTCAGGACCGTGATCTTCAACTTTGGGGAACCCCGTCTCACCTTGGAACTGAGGGTAAAGGAGAGACGGTTTCCTGGAGAGGACACTTGGGAAAGTCACTCCAGTGTTGAGAAAAGACAGTGAAGGCGACAGGTTACAGGCATCCGGAAAGAAACACGAGCAACCCAGGGACCTTAGACCCACATTCGGAATGATCAGTATGCCAGGGGAGAAAAATCACTCAGGCAGCCAATTGTAACGGGAAGGACTGCGCATGAATACCTCGAAGCATTCACTTTATTAAACAAAAATAGCTTTCAAGAGACATATTTACCAAAAAGTGAACTCCTTGTGCTCAGAATAGTCTGAAACAAGCTTGCCTTCTTTAAGGACACACCAAATAATATTTAGGGAGATTGTCCAAAAGTTTACAAGGGAAATTTTACAAAGAATAACCTACATGTGGCATTAAGAGTTTACTTCTGCTCTATTCTTTCTTGGGTTCACTGAAAGGTCAGTCAGACACCCCATTGTGGGGAGGGTCCCCAAAGTCCAAGGGCAGAGCTTGCTGGAAATTCCATTTACCACCCAGAGTAATCAGTACTCACAGTGTCGAACAGCTCTTCCATCAGCCCGTTCACTTCCTTTTCTGTAAGAAACCCAAATAGTGCATTACTGGCACAAATTGGCTCCATTTTGCAGTAAGAGAGAATTCCATGAAAACAATGTTAAGTTATCTAACGAAACCCTTGTACCTATCATTCATTCATTCAAAAACATTTTGAACACCAACTATGTCTCAGACTCTAGTCTAGGTGCTTGAGTGAATGAAACAAGTATTTCTACTCTGGTGAAACATGAACACTAACAGTGAATCACTATAGGCACAGTTAAGCTAAAATTTAACATTTCCACTTGTTATCCCTTTTGACCATATTTAATTTGTTCTAGTTTCCATCATATTTCCCTCTCACTCGGACTGAGGTCTTCCTGTGTTTTTTGTTGTGATTTGTTTTCTTGGGGACCATATCTTCTTTATTTTATATCTAAGATAGGTAAATCTATAGAGACAGTAACTAGACTGTTCCCTGGGGCTTTGACAGGGGAGGTTAGCATAATGGAGAGCTGATAATAGTGGATACAAGATGAAGAAAATGTTCTAAAATTGATTGTGGTGATGACTGCACAACTCTTTAATACTAAATTGTACGGTATGTGAATTATAAGTCAATAAAACTGTTTTTTAAACTATGATCTAGATGACTTTAGAAATTAGATAAATTCATAGTTGGCTGGCCCATGGAATACTTAATGGTGTGAACAGAACAGTCTCTAGCAATGTGCCATATACCCTGACTTAGTATCACAATGACTGGAAGATCTGGAAAACACATTTATTAAATATGTGCATAACACAAGATTGGAAAGCATGAGCTAGTCCAATGGATGCCAAGATTCAACATTCTGGGTTTTCTGAAACCCAATGGATTGAACATAATGGGAATACATGTAAAGTTCTACATTTAGGGTTTTTGTTTGTTTGTTTGTAAATTTTAAGCTTCTTAAAGCACAGAGAAAAAGTGGTATAGCTAAAAAAAAAAAAAGATCACTTGGAAAAAAGTCTCAAAGCTTGCTTGATCTGAAGTTCAAAATGATACCAACTACTCCAAAAGAGTGTGCATTCCACGAAGGTGCATGTGGCACTGAACTAGCGTGGCACCTCAGACAAGTCTAATCAACTGAAAATCCTTCTAAAGAAGGCAGGCAACTGGGACTCTATATTAGGAATGGAAAATAGAGGAAGTTCTGGCAATTTCTTATAAAATAAACTTATGCCTATTCTATACACAAACAATTCCTCTCCTACTTTACCCAAGAGAAATAAAACATGTCCACACAAAAAGGCATGAACAAGAATGCTCGGAGAAGCTTTCTGATTGCCAGAAATTTGAAGAAGCTCAACATCTATTAACTTGGGAATATGAAGGTCTTCAAAGAGTTCAAAGGATAATTATCTTTTAATTCCATTTTCACACAAACTTTGTGAAGCCCTTGTAAATAAACAGACTGATACATTCATAATGGGACACTATTCTACAGTGAAAAGGAGCACACTACTATGGATAACCTCAAGAACCACTGTGTTTAAAACATACAGATACAGTGTTCAGTGAAAAAGTCTTACCAAAAAACAACACATGAAACATGATTACATTTTTATCAAAATTTTCTACAACAGCAAATGTAATCTGTGATTAAAAAAAAAATGAAAACAATGTTTGCTGCTCCAGAAGCAAATAAGAGGTGGGAATCAGAGGGCGGACTGACTTGGAAGGAGCATGAAAAAAATTTCTGGGGTGCTATCTATATCCTGATATACGTTTGGGTTATACACTTGTCAAAACTTGTCAAATGGTTAGCTTAGGATTTGTGTATTGCATTATCTATTACAAAAACACACCAAAACCCCCCAAACGCACTGCCATCGACTCGCAGTGGTCCCACAGGACAGGGTGGAGCTGCCCATGCGTTTCCGAGACTGTACACCTTACAGGAGCAGAAAGCCCCTCTGGCTCCCTCAGAGTGGCTGTGGGTTTCAAATCACTGCCCTGGTGCTCAGCAGCCCATCACGGCACAGGGCTGCAGTATAACACAAAGATAACCTAAAACCTGGTAACACAAGAGGGCAGAGGTAGAATCCCACGAACTCTAAGACTAGGAAGAAAGCCATCCTAGTCAAATTGACTAATATTGCCAGCACAGTGCTAAACACACTATAGCAATAAACATTACTAAGCCTCTGCCCTTGGCAGTCTAAATCAGGAGTAGGAAGAGATAGGAGGCATGACTTAAAACATAGTAATTATGTGACCAATGAATATTAACAATAAGGACATATATAAAGTGATATGGGAATATCTACCAAAATAATGATTCTAAATAAGGAAGACCTATCCACCAAATTACATGTACAGGGATGAGGAACAGACAACAAAAAAGGAAGGCAAGTATTCTAGGAGGACTGAACTGACATGAGGTCTCTTGCTTTTTTGTCTCAAGAAAGAAATGCTCCCCTCAGAAGAATGCACTACAGAGGACAGCACTGAAGCTGCAGCTCAGGGAGAGGGGCGCATCTGATCAGAGCAGACAGGAGTAAATGAACAGGGAAGGAGAGAGAATGGAGCATATCTTGACCCACCAAACCTCAAGGACTATATTCCTGCTCAGAGAACCTAATGCACAGAGAGCATCATAGGGCTGGCCCCACCATGAGACAAGACGTCCCTCACTGACCCATATTGCTACAGGGAGCAACCCTGGAGGCACAGTGCAGGAATTGTGCCCGATTTGACCCCACCACACAGGGGCAAACCACTAAGCCCCCGGGGAATACCATAAATAGACTTTGGGGTCAGGGCGTGGCACCCTATCAGACTCCACCAGAAACAACTCCTAAAGGTCAACAAACAGAATTGGAAAATAATAATAATAATTTAAAAAATAAATAAAGAGTATCTATTTATTGGGGGGAAAAAAGACTTGGAACTATTTATAGGTTTTTCTTTTTTTGTCCTTGGTTTGTTGTTTGGTTTTCTTTTGTTCTGCCTTGTTTTTATGCTTATTATTGTCTCTGTATATCTATCTAGATAAGTGGAGTAAACAATCCAGAGGAGAAAACAATGGGACCTACTGTTGGGGTGGGGGGACACAGGAGGGAGGGGGGCAAGGAAGTGGTGTTAACAAACCCAGGGAGAAGGGAACAAGTGACCTAAACTCGATGGCAAGGAGTGCATAGGAGGCCTGGTAGGGCTTTATCAGGGCAATGTAACCGAGAGGAATTACTGAAATCGGAATTAAGGCTGAACATGATAGTGAGACAAGAGGAAAGTAAATGGAAATAGAGGAAAGAACTTGGACACAAAGGGCATTTATAGAGGTCTAAATAAAGGCATGTACTTATGTAAATATATTTACATATATATAATGATAGGGAAAGAGATCTATGTACATATATTTATATGCTAAGTATCAAGTACTAAGTATTAAGCCTCTTCTCAAATACTCCCTCAACACAAGAACACTTTGTTCTAATAACCTGGCATTCCGTGATACTCACCTTCCCCACACGATCTCTGAAGACAAAATGCATAACAAATATGGTGAAGAAAGCTGATGGTGCCTGGCTATCAAAATTATAGTGTCTGGGATCATAAAGGCTAGAAGATAAACAAGCGTTCATCTAGCTTAGAAGCAACAAAGTCCACATGGAAGAAGCACACTAGTCTGTGTGATCATGAGGAGTCGATGGGATCAGCTATCAGGCATCAAAGACCCAGAACACAAAATCCTATCAATGTGAATGAGGGGGATGGAGAGTGGAGACCCAAAGCCCATCTGTAGGCAAGTGGACATCCCCTGATAGAAGGGTCACAGGAAGAGAGGAGAGTCAGGGGGATGGTGGGGGGAGAAAGGGAGAACTGATCACAATGATCTACATATAACCCCTTCCCTGGTAGATGGACAACAGAAAAATGGGTGAAGGGAGATAAATTATCAAGGGTTCGTGAGGGAGGGAGAGTGGGGGAGGGAGGGGAAAAAATAAGGAGCTGTTACCAAGGGCTCAAGTAGAAAGAAAATGTTTCGAAAATGATGATGGCAACATTTGTACAAACGTGCTTGACACAATATATGTATGGATGGATTGTTCTGTATGGATTGTTATAAGAGCTGTAAAAAAACCCAATAAAATGATTTTTTTTTTAATCTATTCATCCTTTAAAACTAAGCTAATAGCTCATCTTACTAATTTTTCCTCTAACTCCTCCCACCTACTCTAATATCATTCATTAATTACATCCTTTCAGATCACTAGTATATCTTATACATAGCCTACCATAGCATGTCTCACTTTATATTAGAGCTTTATCTTCTATATATTCCTAGTGCTGAGTTCCTACAGAAAGAGGCCATGTCCTGTTCATCCTAGTACGCTAAGTGCAATGCCTGTCCAACAGCAGAGAATACAGGACTACAGGATAACAAAGAAATGACTGGTAAGTGGACCCTGAGCTGCTTCATTCAAGTGTGATCCCTGTTTCAGGATTGGTCTTTCCGATCTTCCCCATTTTTCCTTGGCACTGCCTACAGCATCGTGGCTGCCCGCAGGTCCCCGATGAAGCCCAAAATTGACCCAAAAAGGTCACCCACCACCAGACCACTATGTGCAAATTAAGCAGAACTTGTAGGAAGAGGCATTGATAAACAAGCTGTAAGGAAGCGTTATGGGTCAGATCTTGATGCTCAATACAAGAAATTCATGCACATACTGCCCAATGGCTTCAGCATGTTCCTGGTTCAGCGTGACAAGGATCTGGAAGTGCTGCTAATGGGTAACAAGTCTTACTGTGCAGAGATTATTCACAACATCATCTCCCCAAATCACAAAGCCAGTGTGGAAAGAGTAGTTCAGTTCATCATTCATCAATCCCAATGCCAGGCTGCACAGCAAAGAAAATAAGCAGACAGCCATTTGCAAGTTTTATTTGTGCTAAATAAAACCATAAAAAGTGGGTGTCTTTCATTAAGGGGGGTGAAAGAATTTGCCTTCCCACCCCAGGTAGTATGTATACTGAGTTTAAAATCTGTAACTTAACAAGGGATGTTCTGATTCCCGATATCTGGAATAGAAAGACAAATTCTCAGCAGGAGGTCAAGACAAAAAGAAGCAGTTTGAAGCCTTGCTAACAGGCTTCCGGGATGTTGCTGTAACTGGTTAGGTGCAGTTGAGTCAGTTACAACTCTAGCCGCCCTCTGTACAACAGAACAAACCATGGCCGGGCCGGGTCCCGAGCCATCCTCACAACTATTCTTAGGTTTGAACCCATTGTTGCTGCTACTTGTCTGTCCGTTTTTCACACTATGGTGACTTGTACCATGTTGCTGTGATGCTGGAAGCTATGTCACTGGTATTTTGATACCAGCAAGGGCACCCAATGTGAACAAGTTTTATCAGAGTTTCTAGACTAAGAGTAGACAACAAAGAAGCAACAGGCTGTTGTTCACTTTGGACAATTACCCACTGAAAACCAGTTTCCTGGTATGATTGATCTACATTTAACAAATTATTGAACTAAATAAGATAAAGGAAATTTAAATGTCTTAACTTATGTGGGCTGAAAATTTTACTCCTTAAGCCCTACAATGTAAAAAAATGTAGACACTGCAAACATACTCACTGGTGATTCTCACTGCTCGGTCAGTGCGGAAATCTTCTGTATCTGGCTCATCAAGGTCATCCAGGAAATTGTATTCTGGGTCGTCGTCGTCATCTGCCTCATCTGGAGAAAAGGTGTTCAAATACTTATTCTCAACTCTAAATTCACAACTCTGGTAAAAATTAACATTGCCAGCACCACCGGGGTCTATTCTAATAAAGTAGATGTATTCTTAACTTTTTACAGAACTTCCTCTATTTTCCTTGGTACCTTTGCACAGATAATTCCCTACAGCTAAGTTATGTCACCGATTCTCTCCAACAAGCCAGAATGCCACCTTTCTCCAGGACCTCTCAGTATGCAGCCAGAGTCACACGACTGAACATATAATCTCCAAAATCTCATTCTGTGTCATGCTGCACATGAAAACAATACTTTTTGTAAAAGCTATTTGTGCAAAGACATTGACAGTAAAAAAAGAAATGACAGTAATCCCCAATAGCGAATGATAAATTATGATGCTTTAACATGACAAAATAGGATATGCATGCAACATGTTAACATGTAACCATTCCATAGATGTTCAATCCATATAGGAAAAAAGTACAACACAATACAATACACACATAATAATCACAAATATGAAATGGCGATATCCCTGTATCAATAAATATTGGGCATTGTCAAATAACCACAAACATACACAAAAGTAATACACATGTACTACTTTTGGGCAGTAGAAATTTAGAATTTTTTTCCTCATAATTTTCTTCCATGTTAATGTTGTATCTTTTCAAATCCTAAGTAAAAGCAGTGGAGTCATTGAATTAAGGAACGGTTACATTGAGGTAATTTCGTTTTTGAAATCTTTACAGACTTAGATGTATAATAGGACTCTCTGTAACAATGGAAATGTCCTATGTATATTTTATAATAGGGAGCCACTAGCAGATGTGAGTATTAAGAACCTGGAATGTGACTGAGGGACTAAAAAAAATAAAATTTCCCAAAAGCAAACACCAAAAAATCTTACCACTGTGTAGCAAAACAAAAGAGGTTGATGCAATTTTTTAATGTCACTTTATAATGGAGAAATGTCCATATTATTACATGAGGGGGGAAAAAGCAGTGACTTTGTGTATTTTCTTCTGTGGTGGGACAAATCCTTGAGATAAATACATGCCTGGGTCCATGAAAAGTCTACGGAACTACTTTGAAAGACGCACACATGCAATGAACAGGGAAGTGTAGAATGGGTTTCCGAGGTTTTAGTTTCTGGTGGATGGAAACTGCTAACTTTGGAGGGGCAGTTGAGCTCTTTGACCACTGGACCACTAAAGATCCTACAGGAGCATACACTTTGATAGCAACTCAACAACCTCATCTAAAATTAAAAGTATACTTAATGCATTAGGCCAGGTTGACTAGAGAAACAAATCCAGTGACATGTATGTGTAAGAAAGAACTTTATATCAGGAAGTAATTGCATATTAGAAAAAATCCCAGCCCAGTCCAACTCAAGTCCTTAAGTCTGACACTAGTCCGTAAGTCCCTCTCCAGACTCACGAAGCCACAAGCAGTGATGTACAATGCAGAAACATCAATGGCCGGTGGGTGCAAAGTCCCGTAGATCCAATAGAGGTGGCTCTAGCAGTTGTCAATGACTTGATAGTAGGATGGGGGTTGAGAGTTGGGACGTGGAGGCTGGCCTCCAGAGAGCCATTTAGCTTGATCTTGCCTCGAAAGGAGGTCATCAAGGTGAGACCTGATTGACAGGCTAAACTCCACCCATATATTCTTACGACTGCCATGTTGGCACCAAAAAAACCTATCACACCTAACAATGGGCCATGCACCCTGTCATTCACACAGGTTTTATTTTCTGACCAAGTAATTATGTTCCTTTATCCCTAGCACAAAGCCTTGTACAGGAAAATACTAATTAAACATTTGCAAATGCTTTCATTGGGAACAGCAGCATAGGAAAGCTCATGAACTTATTATTCTTCCCTTCACTTATTCTGATATTCCTAGCCTCACCTATCCAATCATTGATTCAGCTTGTTTGCTATTCAAACTTTAATAAATAAAGTTTACACCATTATTCTTTTCAACACATAAAATCGATGGCACTCTAAAGAAATGAGAAAAAATTAAAGATGTTTGCTCTGTTAGTTGTTCGTAATTAGATTTAGTAGAACATGATGATTCATAAATAAGAACAATGAATTTAGCTACATACAGATAAAGTGAGAGTGGGTGATTGTATTCATTAAAAACACAAACCCATGATTCACTTTTATATATTAATAATTTTGTGTAACCATCAGTCTTCCAAAGCACCAGTATCCGAACATTTGGTCACACTGAAGAGAATCACGTGGAAACCCCCACGGTAGCTTGGATTCCATCAAAAGAAGGTGCTATCACCTGGAGGCAATGACTAAGACAATCTCTTCTACCTCCTAAATCTAGAGAAATGCAGTGCATAACACAATTAATGACGCATGATTTTCACTGCAGCACACGTTTGAAAACAAATCATTGAAGATAAATTCAACGTTCATATGTTTATAAAGTGGGAACTTTACATTTAAACACAAATCAGAGTGTATGGTAGGGGCTCTTATCCCTTGTACAGCTGGTTTGATCTGACCGATCTTCTTTCCTTACATTATTCTATGAGGTGTTGCGGACCAAAGGGCCCATGAAGAAACGGCTTCCCTATCGATTTCACACAGCAACAGGAGTGGGCAAGTGCTCAGACCAGGGCACTCTAAACGAACTGTTCTCTTGGGTTTCTCCAAGCGGACTCTTTCGGGGGCACCTTTCTAAAGTGGGGACAAGGAGAAGAAAGGGAACAGGGAGTGCTTCTGGTTACAGTCTCGGCCTTTCAGAGAAAAGATGGGACTAACATATGTACAAGGTAACAGTTTTCGTAAAAAGGAGGGAAGGATGCTCTTAACAGTGCCCTAGTTCCACTGCCCTGCCCGAATTCTGCTGCATTTGTGATCAGCATGTCAGAATTAGGACTTTCTCATTTGCATTCTAAAGAATCTTTACAATTGGCACAATGAACCTGGGTAAAGTCAGTGAACCCCTCAGAAATCTGAAGCAAAATGATGTGGACATTTATGTGTAAGCAAAGAGATTTTTTTAGCTTTCCGAATTCCCCTAAATGATTTTTTGTCTGTCTTAAAAGTCTATTTTGTTACTAGTGTCCCTATTCTTTTTAAAGCTTTTAAAATAAATGGATGAAAATTTACAGAGGAAGTTGGTTTTCTTTAAAAATGATTCTTTACCCAAAAAGGTAGTTAAAAAGAAAATCTAACTACTCATTAAGGGTAAATTGTAAGTCAACACAAAATTAAATTCAATTATCCAAAAACACCCCATTCTTTAAGCTTCCAATTACTGAAAGGCTTACTACAAATATACTGGATGTGAAAATAATGAGCATAAACAAAACCACTTACCTTCATTTCCCACATCATCATTAATGAGACCCCCTAGCCACATTTTCCAGTCCTCATCGTCTGCTGTATTGGGGTCATACATGTCTGGGGTGATGTCTGGAGCTTGGAGCTTGGCCTCTAGTTGCCCCAGGGGGACGTTTTTTAGGGGCCTCTTAGAACGAGTTCGGAATGCTATAAGGCTGTCATCCAAGGTCTAATCAATGGAGAAGGGGAAAAAATGTGCCACTGAATGACTATGCTTCCAAATTCTCCAAACCACATCATCGTCTCTGTGTTTCTATTCTTAACTTAAACCATACGATTTCTCTTCTAAACAATTTGAGCTTTTTTCTATTTCGGAACTTTAAGAAAATGACATCATTCTGAAATCAACTTTTTTTTTTTAAATCAACATTTCAAGACCATTTACAAAGGTTTTCTTGAGAAACAATCCACAGACTATAAAATTCACTCTTTTAAGGTGTATAATTGAACCGATTTTAGCACAAAGAGTTACACAAGCCTTAAACTTATCTTAATTTCATAATATATATATATTTAATACTTTTATTGGGGGCCTGTACAACTCTTATCACAACCCATACATCCATCGATTACGTCAAGCACATTTGTACATTTGTTGCCATCATCATTTTCAATACATTTTCTTTCTACTTGAGCCCTTGGTATCAGCTTCTCAATTTTCTCCCTCCACCCCCGACCCTTCCTCCCTCATGAACCCTTGATAATTTATAAATTATTATTATTCTTTCATGTCTTAACACTGACCGATGTCTTCCTTCACCCAACCACTTTTATGTTGTCTATCCCCCTGGGAGGGGATTATAGGTAGATCATTGTGATCCGTTCCCCCTTACCCTTACCCTCCCTGGTATGGCTATTCTCAATATTGGTCCTGAGGAGTTTATCTGTCCTGGATTCCCTGTGATTCCAGCATTTATCTGTACCTGTGTACATGCTCTGGTCTAGTCAGATTTGTAAGGTGAATTGGGGTCATCATGGTAGTGAAGGGGAGGGAATAATTCAAGAACTAGAGATAAGGTGTATGTTTCATTGGTGCTATACTGCACCCTCGTCTCCTCCCTGCGACCCTTCTGTAAAGGGATGTCTAATTGCTACAGATGGGCTTTGTGTGTCTACTCTGTACTCCCCCTCATTCACAATGATATCATTTTTTGTTGTGGGTCTTTGATGCCTGATGCCCGATCCTATCGACACCTCGTGATCACACAGGCTGGTGTGCTTCTTGCATGTGGGCTTTGTTGCTTCTCAGCTAGACGGTCACTTGTTTATCTTCAAGCCTTTAAGACCCCAGATGCTATAACTTTTGCTAGCCAGGCACCACCAGCTTTCTTCACCACATTTGCTTATCCACCCACTTTGTCTTCAGCGATCATGTCGGGAAGTTGAGCATCATGGAATGCCAGGTTATTAGAACAAAGTGTTCTTGCATCGAGGGAGTACTTGAGTAGAGAGGCCCAATGTCCATCTGCTACCTTAATACTAAACCTATAAATATTTGTACATAGATCTATTTCCCCATCATCATATATAAATATATTTGCATACGTACATGCCTGTATTTAGACCTCTATAAGTGCCCTTTGCCTCCTAGTTCTAATCATCAGCTTTCTATGATGTTCTAAGGTTTTCCTACCAGGCCGGTGAAAAAATGCTTGACTTACAACTGAAAAATGTAAAATACTGAATGAACTAACTTCCAAGAGGTCAGCTAATTTAAAAATCTTGTTTTGAGTGAATAATTAGTGTGGGTGATGGCAGGGAATAATTTTTTGTCAAACCATTTATTTAACAGATGCATACTCAGTGGTTGAAATTATGATAGCACAAGAAAAGTTCCCTGTGAAATGTACAGTCTAAATACCTGAACAAATAATAATTGAAGATAGTAGTAAATGTGGGGCGCCATTTTGACCTTGAGTTAATGCCCTCACTCATCTGGATAATGTATCTGTGTCTTTGCGTTCTTTGTCTTTTTTAAGACTTAATAAATGTTCTCCCTAAATTGAAAAAATTATAATAATGTTATGTGTTAGCAACCAAATAAATAAAAGGAAATAAGATAATTGACTTTTAAAGTACTTTAAATAGAAAAATTGAGAAAAGCCTCCTTGAGATGTTCTGAATGGTTAGAAGGAATTAGCAATGTATGAGACAGGAAAAGAAAGTTCTATTGCAAGGAAACAGCTCATTCAAAGTTCCCAACATGTGGGTATGTGAAGGAACAGAAATGGGCCAAAGCTTAGCGATCATGAGAGAGTAGTAGTAATGAGGTCCCATTGCTAGGTATGTGCTATATGATGAAATCCTTGAGAAACCATGTTGAAGAATTTAAATTCTATTTTAACCACTGAAGCTCTTTTGGTTAATCATTAACTAGTGGGTAGATACACATTAACTTCAGTGAAAGGAAAGGCAAAAGAAATGATGCTAGTTAGATAAAAAACCCAAAAATGATAGAATTTAACAAACACATACAAGAAACTTTTTGTGATAGTTTTCTGAAGAATGTTAAAACTTTTCTTTGGGCTAAAGGGATGAAACTGAGAGAGGAAACAGAATTCAGCTAGGAGGTTGTTGAAGTAGTCCAAGGGCCAAGTTCCCAGTGTGATCCACAGATTCTGTGCACTCCCAATTAAAAACTGACTGTAACCAATTGAGTTGTGTCCTCTACAAAAAATATATCTGTGTCTGTGTTTATACAGACAGTCCCTGGAATATAAATTAATTTTATTCCTAAGTCTGTCTCTTAAGTCAGATTTGTACATAAGTTGGAACATTTAGGTATAGTTCATAGTTCATGCTAGCCAAATGTTTTAGTATGTAATGTACCTTTCTGGGGAGCCCTGGTGGTACAGTCGTTGCGAGTTTGACTGTGATCTGCAAGGTCAGCAGTTCAAAACCACCAGCCACTCCACAGGAGAAAAGACAGGGCTTTCTACTCCTGTAAAGAATTAGTCTTGGAAACTCACAAGGGCAGCTCTGCTCAGTGCTGTAGGGTTGCTGTGAGTTGGCATCAACTCCATGGCAGTGAGCTTTTTGTTGTCTGTTTTATACCTTTCTACATGTAAACACATTTGAAAAAATCCTTACTTTGGGGAATTGATTAGTATACCTGAAAGAATTTTGTAACATGTCCTGATAGACAACTCAACTCTGAGCATGTCTCACTTGCATTAAGGACTTGCTAACTTCTTTAATGAATCCTTTAATCTTGGACTTGGCAGTTCGACACTGTTCTACAGGGTTGCTGTTACTCGGAATCAACTCATTGCCACTAAGTTTGGGATTTTTGGATACATTGTTGATGGGAATGTACGACAGGGCAGCTACTTATGGGAAGCAGTTTGGCAGTACCTCTAAATGTTAAACAGAGTTCATACGTGACTAATTCCACACCAAATTTACTACCGTTAAGTTGACCCTGATCCATAGTGACCTTATAGGACTGAGGAGAGCTGCCACTGTGAGTTTCCAAGACTGTAACTCTTTAAAAGGAGTTGAAAGCCCTGTCTCTCCTGGGGAGCGTCTAGTGGTTTCCAACTGCTCACTTTGTAGATCGCAGCCCAATGCATACCTACTGTGTTACCAGGGCACCTAGTAGTTCCATGCCAGAAGTGAAAATATTTGTCCACATAAAAAGTTTTAGACAAATGTCTCCAGCGGCATTATTCATAATACCCAATTATTGGGGGTGGGGGGTGGGGTGTAAAACTCATGAATTGATCAAATGTGTATGTCTATATACAAAGGAATATTATTTGGCAATAAAAAATAAGGAAGTGTTGATACATGTTACTACATGTATAAGTCCTGAAAATGTCGTGCTGTTTGAAAGAAGTCAACAAAATGTATGATTCATTTTCTATGATATGTCTAGAAGAGGCAAATCCATAGAGACAAAGGAGGCTCATGGTTAATGGGCAGAAAGTAGAAGGGCAATGGACAATGTCTGCTAGTGGGTATTGGATTTATTTTTGGAGGGATACAAATATTATGAAATTGAAGACAAACAAGCAGCCATCTAGCTGAAAAGCAATAAAGTCCACATGCAAGAAGCACACCAGCCTGTGGGATCATGAGGTGTCGGTAGGATCGGGTATCAGGCATCAAAGACCCAGAACAAAAATGATATCATTGTGAATGAGGGGGAGTACGGAGTAGAGACACAAAGCCCATCTATAGGCAATTGGACATCCCCTTACAGAAGGGTCACGGGGAGATGAGCCAGTCAGGGTGCAGCATATCACCAATGAAACATTTCTCTAGTTCTTGAATGATTCCCTCCCCTCCACTATCATGACCCCAATTCACCTTACAAATCCAGCTAGACCAGAGCATGTACACCGGTACAGATAAGAGCTGGAAATACAGGGAATCCAGGACAGATAAACTCCTCAAGACCAACATTGAGAGTAGCCATACCAGGAGGGTAAGGGTGAGGTGGGTGAGGAAGGGGGAATGGATCACAATGATCTAACTATAATCCCCTCCCAGGGGAATGGCCAACATAAAACTGGGTGAAGGGAGACCAGTCAGTGTTAAGACATGAAAGAATAATAATAATTTATAAATTATCAAGGGCTCGTGAGGGAGGGAGGGTGAGGGAAAATTGAGAAGCTGATACCAAGGGCTCAAGTAGAAAGAAAATGTATTGAAAATGATGATGGCAACAAATGGACAAAAGTGCTTGACATAATCGATGAATGTATGGGTTGTGATAAGGGTTGAATGATGCCCAAGTAAAATGATCTTTTTTAAAAGAAAGCTGATGATTAATTACAAAATCATCAATTGATGGTGACCACAATGATTGTTTCAGTGAAGAACCATTAATGGAAGCTAACACCAGCAGGTGAAAGGTAATATTTGCCCTCTTATTTATTAATTAATTAAAAATGGAAAAACCAACAGGACACCATTTTAACTAAGCAATCAAAGTTAACTTTACCATAAAAGCAGTGAACAAGACAGATGCCATGTTTCCAAGATATAGCCTTGAGAAAACATCAGAGAAATCCAAATTTTGGAATATTCTACAAAATAATTACCTGGACTCTTCAAAGATATCAGGTTATGAGAAACAAATGGTTGAGAAACTTTCCATTAAAGGAGAAAAAGAAACAAGATAACTGCATACAATCTGCAAGCTTGCACCTCCTATATAACACCTGCTCTGTTGGTGGCCAAGCGTCTTCGGTCAGAATTTATTTGCAAATATGTGCATACATTCTTTGAGTGAACATAGTTTAGAATCAAAGTGCTAATGATTAGAAGAAACACCAGAAATGTGAGGAACAACACTGCAGAGGAATATAGTACAGGCTGACCAGAGGTTTCTTTATCTCCCTTGTGTTCTTTGAGGATGGTTATAGTTATTTGTGGGCTTGGTGGTGAAGAACCAACAATAAATTGGTGCTGGATAAAAGAGTCTTATTTTTCATTGTGGCAGCCTGCTATTTTTATAACATGGTGATTGAGTTGAACACAACCAAAGTACGGTAACTGATCTCCCCTTCTTCCTGGATGAGTGGCCAGATGATAAACTGCTGATGTCAGCACCCTTGAACATCTCCAAATAATGTTTGGCTAGCTCAGAAGCAACAAAGCCCACATGGAAGAACATATGATCCTGTGTGATCACGAGGTGTCGAAGGGATCACTGAAGACAAATGGGTGCATAAGCAAATGTGGCGAAGAAAGCTGATGGTGCCCAGCTATCAAAAAGTATAGCGTCTGGGGTCTTAAAGGCTTGAAGGTAATCAAGTGGCCATCAAGCTCAGAAGCAACAAAGCCCACATGGAAGAAGCACACCAGCCTGTGCGATTACGAGGTGTCGAAAGGATCAGGTACAAGGCATCATCAGAACAAAAAAATCTTACCATAGTGAATGAATGATGGGGGGAGTGCGGAGTGGAGACCCAAAGCCCATTAGTAGGCCACTGGAGATCCCCTTGCAGAGGGGTCTCGGGGAGGAGATGAGACAGACTGGGTGCGATGTAACAATGATGAAAAATACAACTTTCCTCTAGTTCCTAAATGCTTCCTCCCCGCCCCCACTATCATGATCTGAATTCTACCTTGCAAGTCTGGCTAGACCAGAGGATGTACACTGGTACAGATAGGAACTGGAAACACAGGGAATCCAGGGCAGATGATCCCTTCAGGTCCAGTGGTGTGAGTAGCGATACTGGGAGGGTAGAGGGAGAGTGGGTTGGAAAGAGGGAACCGATTACAAGGAACTATATGTGACCACCTCCCTGGGGAACGGACAACAGAAAAGTGGGTGAAGGGAGACGTCAGACAGTGCAAGATATGACAAAATAATAATTTATAAGTTATCAAGGGTTCAGAGGGAGAGGGGAGCAGGGAGGGAGTGGGGAAATGAGGACCTAATGCCAGGGGCTTAAGTCGAGGCAAATGTTTTGAGAATGATGAGGGCAATGAATGTACAAATGTGCTTTACACACTGATGTATGTATGGATTGTGATAAGAGTTGTATGAGCCCCTAATAAGACACTTAGAAAAAAAATAAAAAAAAAAAAGTTTGGCTACTGCTTCTGTTCGAAATGACGCTGTGTTCTGGTTGTGACCCAGAGTGATGAAGTGCCAATGGGCATCTTTTCTCCATGGAGCTCTTGCCATTTACACGTCACAGATCAGGTAAAATGATAGGTCAAGTGTGCTGCTTGCCTCCACTTGATCATGTTTACATGAATCCAATGGTTTGTTTAGGTTGGATTTCAATCTATAATCTAGGTTGGACCCTAGATCCGAAAAAGGTTTTTTTTTCCTTAAGCTATAAAGGACATTACTGCGATAACTATCAAGAACTTTAATGAGAATCTTAAATGATTTTATATATATGATAGCATTGGTATGTGATAACATAAGAAAATGTCCACATCTTTAGGGAATTCACATGGCATTATACAAGGATAGAGGACATCATGTCTGTATGATGAAATGTGTGTGGGTACAGTGAGAGAAAGAAGGCTGGAGAATGATAAAGCAATTATAGTAAAATGTTATTATTCGGGGTACCTGGGTAAAGGTTAATCTTATACTCTATACACAAAATTGTTCTCTGACAAATTCCTTATAACTTCCTAAGAGGCTGCCATGTTCACAATAAACTAAACAAAACCCCTTGCCACAGTCAATTCTGACTCACAGTGAGCCTACATGAGAGAGTAGAACTGTTTCTTAGGGTTTTTGAGACTGTAAATCTTTACTGGAGCAGAGAGCCACATGTTTCTCCTGAGGAGCAGTTAGTGGGTTTACCCATCAACCTTATGGTTAGTAGCAGCTCAAACCTTAACCCACTACACTGCCAAGGCTCTTGCTACAATAAACCAGCACAGCCCAGAAAGTGTGTTAACTATCGATTTCCTAGTTTTTTGTTACAACACCGTAGCTTTCCCGCGCTCTCCAACTGTGCATCATGAGCTAGTCTATGTGGCTCTATCAATGATAGACTGAAATCATGTTTACTTGGAAAGAATCCACGCAGACAGGACTGGAAGCCAGCTCCTCATCCACCGCATGCAGCTTCTCCATGAAAGTGCTGTCCTTCATCTGCTTTGGCTTTGGAGGGGGTGGGGGCCCCATGGGCACCGTCTCCACACTGATGTGCCTCACGGCCGGCGTGGTGGCTTTCTCAGCCTGATTAAAAGAGCAGATGCTTTACAAAACAAGGAGTGAGGAAAGAGGTCTTCCTTCTACCCTAAAGATCTTTTTCTTCACATTTAGATAGAGGCACAATACACAAAGGCACCGTCAAGATTTAATCCCATTAGGTTTCATTCTATTTTCAGTGAAGCCAACAGGATACTACTTGGGTTACCAAAAGACGAGAAATGTAGTAAAAATGGCATATGGCAATATAAGAAAAAATAGGTATGTGGGAAAAGACCGGTAGGGGAGATAAAGACGCTCTTGTAGTTTCATACCCTCAGCTCACAAATTCTGAGATGATTAATGGGATGATGACTGATCTTGCATCATCCTTGGCAAAGGGTGACACACAGTCCACAGTCACTGCAGAGATTCACAGGTCAACTACTCTATTTACCCAGTCATCTCCAATGCATCTCTTTTGTGTGATGCTGATTACCTCTGAGAACATGCCGGCCTCCTCATCTGTCTCAGTCATCTCAGAAGACTGCCTCAATTTGGATTTCTTTGCTCCACGAGGAGAAGAAGCAGTGCTTTCCACGTCACTTTCCAACAAACTCTAAAAATCAAAAACAATTCACTTTTACATTTATGCCCTTGTTCCAATGAGTTTGAAGTACCTCAAAAAAATAAATGTCACAAAAGTAGCAATCAATCAGCCAGAGGAAGCAAAAAAGAACCTGCTCAATACTCCACTTCATGAAATGATCATCGAAGATAAGGGTGCTACAGCAAAGTGTGATGAAGAAAGCAGATGGCGTCCAGCTCTCAATCAGAATAGTGTCTGGGCTCTTAAAGGCTTGTATTAAAAAAAGCAGCCATCTAAGCAAGGAGTCAACTATGCCCACTTGGAAGAATCACACAAGTTTGTGTGATCCAAAGATGTCAATAACCAAAATCAAATATGACAAAGGGCAAGTATCAGAGCCTAAATTGAGAACACCCAATTTGTAGAAGGCCGTGGCAGAGAGTGGGCACCCAACCCATCTGCAGAGTCTCTAGCCTGATTAAGCCACTGACAGCTGCCTACGGGATTCTTCTAGTGCAAGTATCTCTTGCTTGTTCCATGACAAAATCCCCTGCCTTCCCTTTCAAATATTCATGGTCTTCTTTTCGTTCATACCCACTATTTGCATTTTCACCTCTGTATTATTATTAGTTTATCCTTACCACTTTATTAGTTTCTGTTTTTTACTATTTCTGTTGTGTTTTCCAGTTTGCGAAGCATAGGAGTAGAGGCACAGAGGTAAGAACTGATGCAAGGGTTTATAGGGGAGGTAGGTGTGGATGTGAGAGACAGGGAAGGTGAGGAGTTTGGGGGAGCAAACAATGTATGTGGAAGGCAGGTGGGAGCACTCTAGAACTGATGGTGATTACACAGCTCATTTGAAAAGTGATTTAACCATGGGGGGGGATGAAAATGTTCTAAAATTGATTGAGGTAATGATTGTGACTGAACTACTGAATTGTGTCATATGTGAATTAAGTGCCAATAAAACTGTAAAAAAATAAAAAACAATTAAACTGTAAAGAGTGGTTCAATACCCAAAATGGTGGGGTTACAGATCAGGTCTCTATCCTCATCAGCCCTGGAAGTTTTGTAAACTTGTACGGTTTTGGTTTAAATTATTTTAATATGCAAAGACCACATTGAGGGTGGAATATTGCACAGCAACGAAAATGAACATTTGACAAAATAATAATAATTTATAAATTATCAAGGGTTCATGAGGGACGGGGGGGCAGGGAGGGAAGGGAAAAATGAGGAGCTGATACCAAGGGCTCAAGTAGAAAGCAAATGTTTTGCGAATGATGAGAGCAACAGTGCTTGACACAATGGATGTATGTATGGATTGTGATAAGAGTTGTACGAGCCGGGAGCGGGGAGCGGGGAGGGAGGGGAAAAATGAGGAACTAATGCCGGGGGTTTAAGTGGAGAGAAAATGTTTTGAGAATGATGTACAAATGTGTTTTACACAATTGATGTGTGTATGGATTGTGATGAGTTGTATGAGCCCCTAATAAAATGATTTAAAAAAAAAAGAGTTGTACGAGCCCCCAATAAAATGATTTTAAAAAAACAACAAAGAAAATGAACACTTAACAGGATGACTAGTTCTCAAAAGCATAATGCTGAACTAAAAGTAGCCCAACAAGACTCTGTATCTCTGTTCATTCACACAAGGTTCAGAAACAGTAAAACTGACCCGAAGTGTTCAGGAATGTATACCTAGGTAGCAAAATTATAAAGAAAAGCAAGAAAAAGACTATCAAACTTGGGATAATTGTTATCTTTTGGCTGGAAGGAGGTGATTGTGATTAGGAAGGTTACACAGTGGGGTATCCTGGTAATGTTACAATTCTTTTACAATAACTTATTAAAATGTAATCATTTTTGTTCTTGCACATATCTGTGTTACATTATACAACATTAAAAAATTTTAAAAATAAGGAACTAGGAAGAGCAGAAAAATACTTAACAGTCTTGATTTGTGTAAAGAGCAGAATAGAGATTTGGATTTCAATCCTTTGTACAGAATGGAAGACACATTTTTAAGAAGGCATAGCAGGCCACCTTATTGAGGTAAATGTTTCTTATAATATAATACCATAATCTTAGGATAGTATTTAACATTCACCTCTTCAGCAGTCTCATCTTCTTCTTCATCATCTGGGTGGTACTCTTCATCTGACGAATCATCTTCTTCGAGGTGGATATCCACAAACTGAGGAGGCTACATACGTACAATTAGAGAAAAATGAAGGAACATAAAACACAGATCATATGGATTTGAGAAAATGAAGGAAAGAAAAGAGGGGTAGGTGAAAACATTTTCTAAGACTAAAATGCATTGCTAGAAACGAAAGCTGGACATACTATAGGAGGGACCACTGAGTCGTGGGAGTACATCATGCTTGGTACAGTAGAAGGGCAGTGAACAAGAGGAAAGCCCTCAGGGAGATAGACTGAGACAGTGGCTACAACAATGGGCTCAAACCAGGCAGTGTTTCATTCTGTGGGACACAGGGTCATTATGAGTTGGGACTGACTTGAAGGCACCTAACAATAATAACAAAATAAATAAATAAACAAGCCCAAGGAAGAGGCTAAAGAAATTCCTGGCGTGATTACAAACCTAAGAATAATGGAATAGAAAATACTGAAGTTGAAAATAAAACAAAAATTCAGGTAAAAAATAAAAGTAACAAATAGCAGTGTTTAGGTTTCAGAAATTATAAGTCTTTCTGGTAAAGAATAAGAATTATTGCTTCCAAATTTACCTTAATTTCGTTGGCCTTCTTAATAGGTGAAATATTCCATGTTGGAATTACCTACCAATAAAGAATATGAACAAGTAAGTTCTTCTATGAAGCAAACCGTTTTTCATTTTCACTTCCTCTTCACCACAACTGAGTCATCTGCATAACATGTGGTAGCAGTGACCCTCAGGGTACTGATTATCCCAAGAGTGTACTCGTATATACTTTTCAGAGCTCGTTAAAAGAAAATGATAGAGGAGTGTATTGCTGTTGTTACCAGAACTTGCTAAGACTGTGCTAGATCTATAAAAACAGAAAAGAGTATCTTTCCTTTTTGTTTTATGGCACAGCTGTTGGTTCCCATTGGATAATGGTTGTAAACACTATTTGTAAACCAAAAAGACTAAACAAACCTAATAAGATATTATAGGTTACAGTAGCTTTTTCACACCAGTAGTTTTTAAAATTCAATTATGATAATATAAATCCAACACAACTTCGCCTCCATAAAGCCAGTTACAAAAACCTCATATGGAAAGATTTAGGGATGAAGCACTATATTGTCTGCAACTTATTTTCAAGTAGCACAGGATAAAACAATAGACAGATACGGAAAAATGCAATCAAATATGGTAAAATGTTTTAGTTTTAATCTGGCAAAAACTCAGACTCATTGTAATAATATTTCAGATTTTCTTTATGAAAAATTTTGCTAATACAGTTGGGGAAATTAAAATAAAATTTTAAGAACTCTTATGTGTTGCAAACAAAATGTCATTGGGTTACATAATTTCTTGACCATATAACTTTGACTCACCCAAAACCATTAACCAAATTTAACTTCATAAAGACAGTCTCCAACCCTCTGTGGAGGTAAGCCCATTATCCAGTGAAAAAAATGAAGGGATTCAGGTCTATATGCCTTTCCTTCTCTGCTTCTGAACCAATCAGTTCCTCTACTCTAAATCCATCATGAAAGCTAGTCAAAATTTGGAAGTGTTAGAACCATTGTATTAAGCATTAAGAAGCATAGACCTAAACTCTGGTCCTTGCTCTCAAAGTATAATCTTGGTTTGCCAAATTTCTCAACACCCATGTTTAGTTAACACAATCTAGGTCCTGAAGCCCATCTGTAGACCACTGGACACTCCACC